TATCCGGTTGGAAGAGACAAGGACAAGTGAAACAAGGAAGTTAGGAGTAAGGGCAAATTTTCGGCGTCAACGCCATCTTCAGGCTCAAATTATTTGTTATATAGTAGTGTTGAAAGTATTAAAACTCATTTTAATACTCGTTTTAATACTTTCAACACTACTATATAACAAATAATTTGAGCCTGAAGATGGCGTTGACGCCGAAAATTTGCCCTTACTCCTAACTTCCTTGTTTCACTTGTCCTTGTCTCTTCCAACCGGATAATATCCAGATATCAGTAACTCAATACTAGCTATATTGTTATCTCCCACAACCCCACACTTCTCTACTGAACTCAATACCAGCTATATTGTTATCTCCAACATCACCACACTTCTCTACTGAACTTAATACCAGCTATATTGTTATCTCCCACAACCCCACACTTCTCTACTGAACTCAATACCAGTTATATTGTTATCTCCCACAACCCCACACTTCTCTACTGAACTCAATACCAGCTATATTGTTATCTCCCACAACCCCACACTTCTCTACTGATCTCAATACCAGCTATATTGTTATCTCCCACAACCCCACACTTCTCTACTGAACTCAATACCAGCTATATTGTTATCTCCCACAACCCCACACTTCTCTACTGAACTCAATACCAGCTATATTGTTATCTCCCACAACCCCACACTTCTCTACTGAACTCAATACCAGCTATATTGTTATCTCCCACAACCCCACACTTCTCTACTGAACTCAATACCAGCTATATTGTTATCTCCCACAACCCCACACTTCTCTACTGAACTCAATACCAGCTATATTGTTATCTCCCACAACCCCACACTTCTCTACTGAACTCAATACCAGCTATATTGTTATCTCCCACAACCCCACACTTCTCTACTGAACTCAATACCAGTTATATTGTTATCTCCCACAACCCCACACTTCTCTACTGAACTCAATACCAGCTATATTGTTATCTCCCACAACCCCACACTTCTCTACTGAACTCAATACCAGCTATATTGTTATCTCCCACAACCCCACACTTCTCTACTGAACTCAATACCAGCTATATTGTTATCTCCCACAACCCCACACTTCTCTACTGAACTCAATACCAGCTATATTGTTATCTCCCACAACCCCACACTTCTCTACTGAACTCAATACCAGCTATATTGTTATCTCCCACAACCCCACACTTCTCTACTGAACTCAATACCAGCTATATTGTTATCTCCCACAACCCCACACTTCTCTACTGAACTCAATACCAGCTATATTGTTATCTCCCACAACCCCACACTTCTCTACTGAACTCAATACCAGCTATATTGTTATCTCCCACAACCCCACACTTCTCTACTGAACTCAATACCAGCTATATTGTTATCTCCCACAACCCCACACTTCTCTACTGAACTCAATACCAGCTATATTGTTATCTCCCACAACCCCACACTTCTCTACTGAACTCAATACCAGCTATATTGTTATCTCCCACAACCCCACACTTCTCTACTGAACTCAATACCAGCTATATTGTTATCTCCCACAACCCCACACTTCTCTACTGAACTCAATACCAGCTATATTGTTATCTCCCACAACCCCACACTTCTCTACTGAACTCAATACCAGCTATATTGTTATCTCCCACAACCCCACACTTCTCTACTGAACTCAATACCAGCTATATTGTTATCTCCCACAACCCCACACTTCTCTACTGAACTCAATACCAGCTATATTGTTATCTCCCACAACCCCACACTTCTCTACTGAACTCAATACCAGCTATATTGTTATCTCCCACAACCCCACACTTCTCTACTGAACTCAATACCAGCTATATTGTTATCTCCCACAACCCCACACTTCTCTACTGAACTCAATACCAGCTATATTGTTATCTCCCACAACCCCACACTTCTCTACTGAACTCAATACCAGCTATATTGTTATCTCCCACAACCCCACACTTCTCTACTGAACTCAATACCAGCTATATTGTTATCTCCCACAACCCCACACTTCTCTACTGAACTCAATACCAGCTATATTGTTATCTCCACAACCCCACACTTCTCTACTGAACTCAATACCAGCTATATTGTTATCTCCCACAACCCCACACTTCTCTACTGAACTCAATACCAGCTATATTGTTATCTCCCACAACCCCACACTTCTCTACTGAACTCAATACCAGCTATATTGTTATCTCCCACAACCCCACACTTCTCTACTGAACTCAATACCAGCTATATTGTTATCTCCCACAACCCCACACTTCTCTACTGAACTCAATACCAGCTATATTGTTATCTCCCACAACCCCACACTTCTCTACTGAACTCAATACCAGCTATATTGTTATCTCCCACAACCCCACACTTCTCTACTGAACTCAATACCAGCTATATTGTTATCTCCCACAACCCCACACTTCTCTACTGAACTCAATACCAGCTATATTGTTATCTCCCACAACCCCACACTTCTCTACTGAACTCAATACCAGCTATATTGTTATCTCCCACAACCCCACACTTCTCTACTGAACTCAATACCAGCTATATTGTTATCTCCCACAACCCCACACTTCTCTACTGAACTCAATACCAGCTATATTGTTATCTCCCACAACCCCACACTTCTCTACTGAACTCAATACCAGTTAAATTGTTATCTCCCACAACCCCACACTTCTCTACTGAACTCAATACCAGCTATATTGTTATCTCCCACAACCCCACACTTCTCTACTGAACTCAATACCAGTTAAATTGTTATCTCCCACAACCCCACACTTCTCTACTGAACTCAATACCAGCTATATTGTTATCTCCCACAACCCCACACTTCTCTACTGAACTCAATACCAGCTATATTGTTATCTCCCACAACCCCACACTTCTCTACTGAACTCAATACCAGCTATATTGTTATCACCCACAACCCCACACTTCTCTACTGAACTCAATACCAGTTATATTGTTATCTCCCACAACCCCACACTTCTCTACTGAACTCAATACCAGCTATATTGTTATCTCCCACAACCCCACACTTCTCTACTGAACTCAATACCAGCTATATTGTTATCTCCCACAACCCCACACTTCTCTACTGAACTCAATACCAGCTATATTGTTATCTCCCACAACCCCACACTTCTCTACTGAACTCAATACCAGCTATATTGTTATCACCCACAACCCCACACTTCTCTACTGAACTCAATACCAGCTATATTGTTATCTCCCACAACCCCACACTTCTCTACTGAACTCAATACCAGCTATATTGTTATCTCCCACAACCCCACACTTCTCTACTGAACTCAATACCAGCTATATTGTTATCTCCCACAACCCCACACTTCTCTACTGAACTCAATACCAGCTATATTGTTATCTCCCACAACCCCACACTTCTCTACTGAACTCAATACCAGCTATATTGTTATCTCCCACAACCCCACACTTCTCTACTGAACTCAATACCAGCTATATTGTTATCTCCCACAACCCCACACTTCTCTACTGAACTTAATACCAGCTATATTGTTATCTCCCACAACCCCACACTTCTCTACTGAACTTAATACCAGCTATATTGTTATCTCCCACAACCCCACACTTCTCTACTGAACTCAATACCAGCTATATTGTTATCTCCCACAACCCCACACTTCTCTACTGAACTCAATACCAGCTATATTGTTATCTCCCACAACCCCACACTTCTCTACTGAACTCAATACCAGCTATATTGTTATCTCCCACAACCCCACACTTCTCTACTGAACTCAATACCAGCTATATTGTTATCTCCCACAACCCCACACTTCTCTACTGAACTCAATACCAGCTATATTGTTATCACCCACAACCCCACACTTCTCTACTGAACTCAATACCAGTATATTGTTATCACCCACAACCCCACACTTCTCTACTGAACTCAATACCAGTTAAATTGTTATCACCCACAACCCCACACTTCTCTACTGAACTCAATACCAGCTATATTGTTATCTCCCACAACCCCACACTTCTCTACTGAACTCAATACCAGCTAAATTGTTATCTCCCACAACCCCACACTTCTCTACTGAACTCAATACCAGTTAAATTGTTATCACCCACAACCCCACACTTCTCTACTGAACTTAATCCCAGTTAAATTGTTATCACCCACAACCCCACACTTCTCTACTGAACTTAATACCAGTTAAATTGTTATCTCCCACAACCCCACACTTCTCTACTGAACTTAATCCCAGTTATATTGTTATCTCCCACAACCCCACACTTCTCTACTGAACTCAATACCAGTTAAATTGTTATCACCCACAACCCCACACTTCTCTACTGAACTTAATACCAGTTAAATTGTTATCACCCACAACCCCACACTTCTCTACTGAACTTAATCCCAGTTAAATTGTTATCACCCACAACCCCACACTTCTCTACTGAACTTAATCCCAGTTAAATTGTTATCACCCACAACCCCACACTTCTCTACTGAACTTAATCCCAGTTAAATTGTTATCACCCACAACCCCACACTTCTCTACTGAACTTAATCCCAGTTAAATTGTTATCACCCACAACCCCACACTTCTCTACTGAACTTAATCCCAGTTAAATTGTTATCACCCACAACCCCACACTTCTCTACTGAACTTAATCCCAGTTAAATTGTTATCACCCACAACCCCACACTTCTCTACTGAACTTAATCCCAGTTAAATTGTTATCACCCACAACCCCACACTTCTCTACTGAACTTAATCCCAGTTAAATTGTTTTCACCCACAACCCCACACTTCTCTACTGAACTTAATCCCAGTTAAATTGTTATCACCCACAACCCCACACTTCTCTACTGAACTTAATACCAGTTAAATTGTTATCACCCACAACCCCACACTTCTCTACTGAACTTAATCCCAGTTAAATTGTTATCACCCACAACCCCACAGGTTTATATACAACTGGTCATGTGGCTGTGCGATATCAGAAAGGGCTACAATCGAGATTCCATCTGAAACCTGCCACAAGGTATGTTTTCTTTCTCTCTAATAATTAATGTATTAACAGTGTGGAACTTACTTAGGTAATAGTTATTCACGAGTGTGAATACGGGTGGTAGCTGCAAGTTCACCATATCTACATGTTGCTTATTTTGTTAAGTGCATTATAAGTAAACGTTCTGCCATAAGACCACAATTAATAAAGACTGTCAAAAATCTTTCGCAACATACCTGATCTCTTAGTGTTATTTAATGTTAATTATTATTAACATTAAATATGTCATTATTTTTGCAGTGTGGTACTCCAATTGTGAAGGAAGATCTTATCATCATCAACGGCACCGAAGAGGACATCGTTAAGTTAACTGAACAAATGAAAAGAAGAAAAGAAGAATCGAAAAAGGGAAAGAAATCGAAAAATCATGTTGTTTCTGAGGCAACATCCAAAGACAAATTATCTGTAAATAATGATGAGCCTGCTGCTGATGATAAGCCATCAAAAAACAAGAGACACAATATTCAAGATGGTAATGATAAACAGCACAAGAAAACTAAAGTCAGTTCTGATCCAAAGGAGAGTAAAAATAAGTTTGAAGACACCAACTCATACAAAAAACTATTTCACAAAAACTGCGAGAAAAAAGAAAAGGCTCACTGGGTTACTTACAACCCATACTATAACTGAGATAACTGCTAATATTAATCTTAACTTGATGATTAATCGTCAGTGTAATGTAAACAAGTTCAAGTTATGCGAAGCAGAGGGAAAATGCACATTTTAAACCAGGAAAGGATTTCCTTATTTGCTATTTTGTCTTATGTAATTGCATAAAATTTTTATCTGATTTTTTTCTTGACAGATTATCAGTTTACTTGGACTCAAAATGGAACATTTTATGTAATTGCTGTTTGATTGCTAGTGAAGTAATTCCACGATGTTATATAATATTGAATTTGAATAATAAATAATAAAAAGCAAGATTAATCCTGACATTTAAAACGTTAAAATATATAATTCCAAAAATCTATACTATATAAACATATGTAAATTATATTTGTTTACAATCCAAAACTAAATATCTACACTTACACCCCTTACTTACAGTAGCAGCAATGTTTACAATAGGTTACACTTACACCCCTTACTTACAGTAGCAGCAATGTTTACAATAGGTTACACTTACACCCCTTACTTACAGTAGCAGCAATGTTTACAATAGGTTACACTTACACCCCTTACTTACAGTAGCAGCAATGTTTACAATAGGTTACACTTACACCCCTTACTTACAGTAGCAGCAATGTTTACAATAGGTTACACTTACACCCCTTACTTACAGTAGCAGCAATGTTTACAATAGGTTACACTTACACCCCTTACTTACAGTAGCAGCAATGTTAACAATAGGTTACACTTACACCCCTTACTTACAGTAGCAGCAATGTTAACAATAGGTTACACTTACACCCCTTACTTACAGTAGCAGCAATGTTAACAATAGGTTACACTTACACCCCTTACTTACAGTAGCAGCAATGTTAACAATAGGTTACACTTACACCCCTTACTTACAGTAGCAGCAATGTTTACAATAGGTTACACTTACACCCCTTACTTACAGTAGCAGCAATGTTTACAATAGGTTACACTTACACCCCTTACTTACAGTAGCAGCAATGTTTACAATAGGTTACACTTACACCCCTTACTTACAGTAGCAGCAATGTTTACAATAGGTTACACTTACACCCCTTACTTACAGTAGCAGCAATGTTTACAATAGGTTACACTTACACCCCTTCCTTACAGTAGCAGCAATGTTTACAATAGGTTACACTTACACCCCTTACTTACAGTAGCAGCAATGTTTACAATAGGTTACACTTACACCCCTTCCTTACAGTAGCAGCAATGTTTACAATAGGTTACACTTACACCCCTTACTTACAGTAGCAGCAATGTTTACAATAGGTTACACTTACACCCCTTACTTACAGTAGCAGCAATGTTTACAATAGGTTACACTTACACCCCTTACTTACAGTAGCAGCAATGTTTACAATAGGTTACACTTACACCCCTTACTTACAGTAGCAGCAATGTTTACAATAGGTTACACTTACACCCCTTACTTACAGTAGCAGTAATGTTTACAATAGGTTACACTTACACCCCTTACTTACAGTAGCAGCAATGTTTACAATAGGTTACACTTACACCCCTTACTTACAGTAGCAGCAATGTTTACAATAGGTTACACTTACACCCCTTACTTACAGTAGCAGCAATGTTTACAATAGGTTACACTTACACCCCTTCCTTACAGAAGCAGCAATGTTTACAATAGGTTACACTTACACCCCTTACTTACAGTAGCAGCAATGTTTACAATAGGTTACACTTACACCCCTTACTTACAGTAGCAGCAATGTTTACAATAGGTTACACTTACACCCCTTACTTACAGTAGCAGCAATGTTTACAATAGGTTACACTTACACCCCTTACTTACAGTAGCAGCAATGTTTACAATAGGTTACACTTACACCCCTTACTTACAGTAGCAGCAATGTTTACAATAGGTTACACTTACACCCCTTACTTACAGTAGCAGCAATGTTTACAATAGGTTACACTTACACCCCTTACTTACAGTAGTAGCAATGTTTACAATAGGTTACACTTACACCCCTTACTTACAGTAGCAGCAATGTTTACAATAGGTTACACTTACACCCCTTACTTACAGTAGCAGCAATGTTTACAATAGGTTACACTTACACCCCTTCCTTACAGAAGCAGCAATGTTTACAATAGGTTACACTTACACCCCTTACTTACAGTAGCAGCAATGTTTACAATAGGTTACACTTACACCCCTTACTTACAGTAGCAGCAATGTTTACAATAGGTTACACTTACACCACTTACTTACAGTAGCAGCAATGTTTACAATAGGTTACACTTACACCCCTTACTTACAGTAGCAGCAATGTTTACAATAGGTTACACTTACACCCCTTACTTACAGTAGCAGCAATGTTTACAATAGGTTACACTTACACCCCTTCCTTACAGAAGCAGCAATGTTTACAATAGGTTACACTTACACCCCTTACTTACAGTAGCAGCAATGTTTACAATAGGTTACACTTACACCCCTTACTTACAGTAGCAGCAATGTTTACAATAGGTTACACTTACACCCCTTACTTACAGTAGCAGCAATGTTTACAATAGGTACACCCCTTACTTACAGTAGCAGCAATGTTTACAATAGGTTACACTTACACCCCTTACTTACAGTAGCAGCAATGTTTACAATAGGTTACACTTACACCCCTTACTTACAGTATGCGCATTGTTTTACTATAGGTTACACTTTAACACCACTTACTTAAGTACCAGCAATTTTAAATACTGTCAACAAACTTCCAACATACTTCAGTCAGGAAATGTTAAAATAGTTAAAACTTACATTATTTTTGCAGTGTGGTACTCCAATTGTGAAGGAAGATCTAATCATCATCAACGGCACCGAGGAGGACATCGTTAAGTTAACTGAACAAATGAAAAGAAGAAAAGAAGAATCGAAAAAGGGAAAGAAATCGAAAAATCATGTTGTTTCTGAGGCAACATCCAAAGACAAATTATCTGTAAATAATGATGAGCCTGCTGCTGATGATAAGCCATCAAAAAACAAGAGACACAATATTCAAGATGGTAATGATAAACAGCACAAGAAAACTAAAGTCAGTTCTGATCCAAAGGAGAGTAAAAATAAGTTTGAAGACACCAACTCATACAAAAAACTATTTCACAAAAACTGCGAGAAAAAAGAAAAGGCTCACTGGGTTACTTACAACCCATACTATAACTGAGATAACTGCTGATATTAATCTTAACTTGATGATTAATCGTCAGTGTAATGTAAACAAGTTCAAGTTATGCGAAGCAAAAGGAAAATGCACATGTAAATTTTAAACCATGAAACGATTTACTTATTTGCTATTTTGTCTTTTGACCTTGTAGTAGCAACGATTCGATTATGTAATAGCATAACATTTTTGTCTGATTTATTTTCTTGACAGATTATCAGTTTACTTGGACTCAAAATGGAACATTTTATGTAATTGCTGTTTGATTGCTTGTGAAGTAAGTCCATGATGTTACATGACATTCCTTTCAATAATAAACGATAAAAAGCCAGATGAATCCTAACATTAACGTTAAAATATATTCCAAAAATCTATACTATATTTATATAGTATATATATATATATAATATAGTATATAAACATATACTTGTTTACAATCAAAAACTGAATATCTACACTTACACCCCTTACTTACAGTAGCAGCAATGTTTACGATAGGTTACACTTACACCCCTTACTTACAGTAGCAGCAATGTTTACAATAGGTTACACTTACACCCCTTACTTACAGTAGCAGCAATGTTTACAATAGGTTACACTTACACCCCTTACTTACAGTAGCAGTAATGTTTGCAATAGGTTACACTTACACCCCTTACTTACAGTAGCAGCAATGTTTACAATAGGTTACACTTACACCCCTTACTTACAGTAGCAGCAATGTTTACAATAGGTTACACTTACACCCCTTACTTACAGTAGCAGCAATGTTTACAATAGGTTACACTTACATCCCTTACTTACAGTAGCAGCAATGTTTACAATAGGTTACACTTACACCCCTTACTTACAGTAGCAGCAATGTTTACGATAGGTTACACCATCACCTCCATCTTCAAAGCTCTGGGTCTGAGTGGGCCCAGAGACGAGCAACTCCCCAGCAACCTCCTCCTCGCCACTAAACTCCCCCGCTGGATCTTAGAACCTGGGGACCCTAAAGACAGGGAGCTGTTTGAAGACTTGTTCAGCGTGTATGATAACGACGTTCAAATTTACTATGTAGCCAGTTTAGCCAGGGCTAGGATCACTTTCTCTGACGTGGTTAGTTATTTTACTATGTAGCCAGCTTAGCCAGGGCTAGGATCACTTTCTCCGACGTGGTTAGTTATTTTTATAGTACATTTAATTTTAATGGTCACTGAAGAAAAATTCACTCAATACAGTGATATTTGGGTCGCGGAAAGCTGGTTTATCTGAAAATGTCCTACCAGTATTCCGTCATAATTTTCTCTGGATATGCTGGTCCCAATACCTTGATGGCGACTTGGGTCACTCCCACCGACCTTACTGATTGGTAACCAAAAATTCAGCCAAAACCGCGAAATTTCGGTCAAGAAAACGGCAGAAAGTTTCTCTTCAAAAATCTCTTTTTTTTCCTTCTGATGATTTTTCGTTTATCGAAACTTTCTTTGGTAAGTTAAGTTTAAATAGAACTTTGAACATTAAATTGTGTCGTGCGCCATCCACAGTGAGCTCATTAAAGTGTGACAATGGTTGACGCTTAAATAGGTATTGTGGCTCTGTTGTCGCTCAATCAATAACTGGCTTCACATTACGTACTTGTTTTGTTATCTGTACATACGATAAGCCTACCTGAGCAGTTAGAATTAGATTCATAATGTTGTTTTATCTATACTAGGTCATGCTTTACTGGCCTGAATATTATATGTGTATTTTAGGGGTGTATTTTACTATTGTAGCGTGTTATGAAAATATGATTTATTTATTATTATTTATGGTATTTCTAATTTCTTTCCTTGCTGCATCTTACAAGATCGCGCTGTTTAAAAATGCTTACTTAAAAAGCACTAATAATACACTTAACAGGCGAGTGCGGTTGTGTGCAAAAGAGAACTGAATGGTGTGACACTGGACGCAGACACTAGACTATGTTTAAAACACACCTATTTGGGTTCTTGTGACCAGCAACAACTTGATGTTCCTCCTCTAACCAAACAGTTCCTCATCTCTCCTCCTTCTTCTCCTCCAGTCGGTATGTAAATGGAGACTTAACTATTTATACTGTTACTTTATTACTACTGTAGACTTTACTACTACTGTTACTTTACTACTACTGTAACTTTACTACTACTGTGTACTACTACTACAGCATAGAAGATATTCGTGGAGGGGGATTTGTAGATGATAGACTTAGATTATCAGTAGATATGATATTATACCTAATCCTGATTATATCCGTGCAGGATGGGAGCCAGTATTAGAGATGGAACCTCATGTGGACGAGAACTTGCTGGAAGCTATTGAGAAACTGGGTGGCAAAGATCTGGTTAGTAACAATTCAATGGAAATTAATCAAAATCACCTAAAATAAGTATTCACTTTATGTGTAATTCTGGATCGCCAGTCAGTCAAAACAATATTTTGATCTCCCCATGTCCATAATTTATACTTTGTTATCAGTGTATAATATGTATCTTATCAGTCAGGTGAAGAGCTAATGTTGATTCCGGGAGAGGAGGAGAAACCCGCTGTCACCCTCAAAATGTCACAATCAGAAGAAAACAAAGAAAATTCAGAAAACTTCTCCCGTGCTGTGAAGAGTTAGAATTATTTTGTAAAAATTTAATAAAAATATATATTTATATCTATTTATATAGATCCAATACTGTACTAGGCTGGCTAACTGTGCAGTGTTTATTGGAACTAGCCTGTATAGTTAGTAGACTATACTAGCCTGTATAGTTACTAGACTATACAGTATACTAGCCTGTATAGTTAGTAGACTATACTCGCCTGTATAGTGTATAGTTACTAGACTATACAGTATACTAGCCTGTATAGTTAGTAGACTATACTAGCCTGTATAGTTACTAGACTATACAGTATACTAGCCTGTATAGTTAGTAGACTATACTCGCCTGTATAGTTACTAGACTATACAGTATACTAGCCTGTATAGTACTTGGTCACCTGACAGCCCTATTATTACTCTTATTTGTCCTCAAAATTTTTCTGTCCCTAGATTGTAGACAGTTATATTTACTGTATAGTTGCTACTATTTGTATAACGATATTATAATGTTAAGCGAGCATGTTAGTCCCTAATTAGTCCCTAATTAGTCCCTAATTAGAGAATAATAATTTCATGTTTAGTTATTTGATGTACATTTAAGTATGTAAATTAATGTATAGCGATAGTAACTACAGGATTCTGCAAGGATTTGTGCAACTGGCTTTATAATTTAAAGGAATAAGATTGCTATTAGTTATAGTAGTAGATCTGGATACTGATAATATCTGTTTCTACACATGACATTCTGAGATTTGATTGGCTCAGCTCCACTTCAACTTCCAGATTTACTAGTCGCTCAATCCTTTTAGTGGTTGCTAGGTTACTGAGTGATTGCTAGGTTACTGAGTGGTTGCTAGGTTACTGAGTCGCTCAATCCTTTACACCTGATCCCCCCCCCCCCCGTCCTTTGCAGAATCACTTAGCCCAGTAAACGCTTGGACCCTAACATCTGTTGGGGTCTGAGTCTTATTTAATATAAGGATGGACAGAGTTTATTGGAGATATGTTAATTTACCTTACCATTGCCATGGTACCTGATCCCCCCCCCCCCCCCCCCCCCCGCATTGCCTGGATACATATCCAGATACGTGACGGTATTCTTGAGTTGAGGGTGTTTGTTTGGGTTTTCTAATGTAACTTTTAGTTTCTCTCTAACTTTCATTAGATTAAATTATTATTTTGACTTACTTACTCACTTCGATTTTATCACTTATATTTCCAGCATGAGCAAGGGTCCCGAATTATAATGACGAACATTTTTACAAAAATTAGATGTTTTATTTAAAACGTCAATCAATTCATTTTCATTTTCATGTTAATGAATTTTTACCAATTAATCGTTTTATAAATATTTCCGAACATACAACACAAACATATTGGTGATAAGAATTGCTGTTTTCATGTTTTTGGAATTTATTGATTTTTCCTGCATCTAGAGTGACTCCAATCAAACTTATTTCGTAATTTATGAACTGAAATGAGGTATTTATATCCCGCTCATATGATTAACCAACAACACAAGGAAGGCGGTTAACCATGTCAGAGCGGCTGACTGTGAGTGATGTAAGCAAATGTGTAAAAGTGAACAAAAGTAATTCGTAATTTATCAAATCATAAAGTTCGAAATGACTTAAATTCTAGTAAAACCATCAATATAATCGACGACATTTTCCTTAAATGAGATTTCACAATAAAACTACAATTACAGGTGATGGCACTAGTATCGAGATTAGCACTGCGTAAGCTAGTTCCCTATCAACTATCAGACACCACCCGCTCCAACGCACTGCAAAATGCGCGTCAATACTACATGAAGACACAGAAAAAGAAGGGAACTAGCTGGACTAGGTTAAGTGTAAAGGTTGGGGGTGGGGTGGCGGTTACTGGGGGACTTGGTGTTGTGCTGCTGGGTTACAACTGGGACGGGTTAGAGGACGAGTTTGTGGATATGGGTCTGCTGGAGCAGTTCCCAGCTCGAGCCAAGTCTAAAATATCGGACTATTTAGCGTACATGATGGAGCCACGTGCCCAGGAACTGCTCCTTCCTGATTTGTTACCTCCTCCTTACCAGGCTCCCTACACTCTCCTTATAGAACTGAGCGACCTACTCGTTCATTCCTCCTATACCAGGACAGCTGGCTGGAGGAGAAAGAAGCGACAAGGTCTGGATATATTTCTAGAGTCCCTGTGTAAACACTATGAGATTGTTATCTATACTCAGGAAGTGGGGATGAACTGTGTGGAAGTTATTGAGGCTATTGACCCTAAAATGTGTGTTCTTTACAAACTATTTAGAGATTCCACCAAATACAAAAAGGGAGTGTATTTGAAGGACCTTTCTAATCTGAACCGTGATCTTTCGAAGGTTATTCTAGTGGATACTAACAGGGAGGCTGTTTCTTGCCAGCCAGAAAACGCCATTATTTTGAACAAGTGGATGGGTGAGGATGATATGGACTTAATAGATCTGGCAGACATGTTAGTTGTTATTGCTCAGGACAGGCCGACAGATCTGCGAGAGGTTATCAAATGTTACACAGAACTAGAAGACCCGATAACCGCTTTCAGAATGAGGAGACAGGAAATTATTGACGCAGAAAATAGTAGGAAATTAGAAGCCATAAACAAAGCAAAAACTCCTGGTGGTATATTGGCGAAAAAGTGGTGGTTATAAGGGTGTAATATGTGTTAAATTAGGGCCCTCCTGATCTCTTGTTGGTGATTTTTATTTTTGAGTTAATTTTTTACAAAATGTAACCTATTGATTAGCTTGGCAGGAAAGTTGGCAGTTAGCCAATGGAAGTTGAAATTAGAAATTGATTTAGTAATTTATTCTTCTAAAAACTTTAATTCCTTCTGCAAATGTTCGATCAAACCATTCAACTTCTCTTAATCATAAGTTAGTGCATTTGTTTTATTCTTTCAATTTATGTATCATTGCACTCGATTAAATGAAATTAAGATTCTTCTAGATTTATTTGGCACATTGCGACAGCCACTGTTACAAGAAATAAAACGGAAGGCGCGCCAGTTAATTTTGTTGGTAGTGTGTCAGCGCTCACAATTAGTGGCGCGCGCATTTTTCCCACGGTATTCGAATCAGACCAGCTCTTGCCGCTTATAATGCATACAGTAAGGGACAAGGCTTTGGGCTTCAGCAGCATTTCTAATTCGCTGTTAATGATTATGAGTCAATAGATACACTTTTGTAATTTTATAATTGTTCGAGGTACACTCTATAGCTGTGTTTACTGCTTCTTGATTATGATAACAATTAACATGCACAGAGATTCTAAACACTCTGTCATTTAAATCACCGCTTCAATATTATCTAACTGTAACCTAGATGTAACCAACTTTGGCTGAAGTTCAGAAGTTGGCTGTATTTTGGTGACAATAAGGTAGATATTTTGGTCTTGTGTAATTGTATTATTGTAATGTTTATTTGAATTTTCAAATACAAATAACTTTCGAAAGTCCAATGACTCTATTTTCGCAGGATGGCCCCAGAAGCAGTAAGAAGACGACTTCTCCCCGAAGGACCAACATCAGATGAGCCAGACATCAACAATCTAACTGAAGAAGATAGAACCGCAATAGACGCTGTCATTTCGCAAAACAAATCCAACTTTAATGCTCACACTATCTTCTGGATGGTGGCTGCCATGCTTGTTTTCAACTACACAGACTTTGCTAACGTATTTTATAACGATGCCCGAGTTAAAGGTGATATGTTAAAGGTTGGGAGTGGTATGATTGCGGTTAACTTGACAGTTGGCGCCTATTTGGTAATTTATCTCTCATATATGAGAGGTAAAAAGGACTGGACTGCTCACACCCACCCAGCTTTAATCCCCATAGCAACTCTGTTTGGCTGTGCCGGAATGGTTGTCTCTACTATAGCGCTGTGGCCTGTTTGGACTTTTCTTACTCTTCCCATTCTCTTTACTTTGTTCATGGGGACCATCATGCTCGCATCTCTCTTACCGTTTTAGTGGTAACCATGGTAACCGTGATAACTATGGTAACTCCAGCAGGGATGGAGCTCTTACCGTTTTAGTGGCTTATCAGAAATATTACAGTAGAATACTTAGAGTTTCTTTGATGAGTTCTTTTCGACAAATTTTGTTCAGCTCTGACATACTAAAGGGAACACATGCATGATGAGTGAGCAAATACCTTTGAGATCGTATTAGGGGCCGTTCACATATTACGTAATCAGCTGAGGGGGGGGGGGGTTCCGAATGATTACGCTAGTGTAATTTTGACACAATAGCTATGTGTAAAACTTATTACGGAGGGGGGGGGGGGGGGGGGTTAAAATGTTCCAAAAAATGATTATGTAATATGTAAACGACCCCTTACTAATAAAATATATTTTGCGAGATTTTTTCAGATTTTTGTTTTCAACGTTCTATTTCATATGTATTTAAGTTTGAATTTTGCTCCTACAAGTTTATGATAATAAGTAATAATGTATTTGATTGACTCTTAGTTATTTAAAAAGCTTTCCTAATCTTATCACTCTTATTTATCCAATGTGGATGACAAAGTTCCATTGAAAAATTATTGACGAAAAAAGGTTTATGAAAAATTGAACTTAAGCTTTAATACGGTCATGATGGCTGTTTTCCTTATCAACTTTGTTCTTAATTAAATAAGTCAATACGGAAGTACGATTTTGGTATGTTTTGTAATTCAAAACTTGCATTTGACAGGTAATGGCTCAGTATTCAGCAATAGCAGAGAGTGTGAAAAGTATGGACTCTATCAGCTACCTCCGAGTCCACGCAAAGAAACTAAAGTTCCTCAACCTTCACGGGAATACCATAAGAACTATAGCAAATCTGGAGGAATGTTACTATCTTGAAGAACTTGACTTGTCATCTAATAAAATTACCAGTGTTACTGGTCTGGAGGCGTGCGAATCTCTTCTAAAGCTCAACCTCTCTTGCAACGAAATAAAGCTAGCGGCTAATCTGGACTTTCTCTACAAACTGAAACATTTGAATCTGTCGTACAACAAAATAACGCAGGTCAAAACTTTATCACACTTTTCAGAGAGAAGGTTCCAGTTAGAAGAACTGCATCTTCACGGCAACAAGTTGAACTCAGTACCTGCAACTATTGGTGCTCTCAGGAAGATCCTGACTCTGAAACGTCTGACTCTTCACTCCAACCCTCTCTGTCTCAACACCAACTACAGGAAGGCTTTTGGAGACTGCATGCCTCAGTTGGAGAGTATTGATGATTTTCCTCGAGTAGATGATTCCTTCTCGTCTGAGTCAGTAACTACAGATAGTACAGTTTCCACCCAGCCTATCATTACGCCTCATATCAACAAGGCTCTTAAAAACTTCAAACATGAGGTTTCTTCTGAGGAATCATTGGGAACAATAGAAAACTTTAACAAAAGTGAGGACGAGGACACAGCGAACCAATCAAGATATCAGCAAGGCAGCAGAAATAAAAGCAAGGAAGCTGAACTACCTGACAAAGATTACACGGACCTGATAAAACAAGTACTAACTGCTATTAGAGAGGAGGAGTTCCCCGTCAAACTAGACAAGAACGCGAGGAAAATATCTGAGGAGATTAATACGAATCAGACAAGTGTAGATGTCACTCCACCGAAAGGGGAGGAAGCTATAGAGATTACGGCTGCTCAAATTAATGCAGAGTCACTGAAATCAACAAATAAACTTTTGCTAACGGAGCTGGAGACAGAAAGGGAAAGACGGTGGAAGAGTGAGAAGCATATTGCCGAGCTATCTGACAAGATGGTTAAGAATGAGCACGCGATACAAGAGTACGAGTGCTTGAACAAGAGCAGCGAGGCTGGCATTAACGGTATAAGAGACTTGTTGATGAAGGAGCAGGGTCAAAAGATGAAATTAGCCAATCTTTTGGAAACATATCGAGAAAAACACAAAGACGTTGTCAGCTTAGCACAGAATAGAGAGGTGCAATTGAAGAAGCGTGAGGAAGAAATAGAGCGATTACACGCTACAATTGAACAAATGAACCGTTCCTCAGGGGATACAGTAAAACAACACAAGCTCTCACTGCAACAGGTGCGACAGGAGGCGCAGGTGCAGCGCAAGGAGTGCGAGCTGCTCCGTCACCAGCTGAAAGATCACCAGACGAGGTGACGAGTCTGCAGGGGTTGATAGTGACCCGGGAGCAGGATCACGTGATAGAGAAAGGGAATCTAGTTCCTCTAAATGGGGAACTGTTTAACAAGCGTGTTGATGAGTTGCTGGAGAGGGAGCGTCACACCCACACCCTCATGAACAAGAACTTGATAGACTCAGCAAAGAACTGGCAAGAAAAGCACGGGCAGTTGGAGAAGGAGTTCAGAATAGCCCTCTTCTTGGAGAATAAGAGATACGAGCAGTTACATTCCTCCTTCACTACTATATCTGAGGAGTTATCTACCCGGAGAAGGGAGGTAAACAGACTGAAGAGTGAGGATAACAAGAATATTAGTCTGATAGATAAACTGAAAAGTAGTGTAGCTGAACAGAGTGGGGGTATCGATAAGCTGAGGAGGGCTAGGAGTGAACTAGAGGAGAAGTGTAAAGTTAGGATAGCCGCGCTGGAGAGGGAACTCCAGCAATCTACTGAAAGTGTTAGTTATCTTCTTTTTTTCAAGTTGTTTTATCAGATCCAGTTATGAATTTCATAAATTAATGTAATTAAGTAACAAACAGTAACAAACAGTTACAAACAGTAACAGTACTAGTTACTGGTTGCTAGGTTACTGAGTGGTTGCTAGGTTACTGAGCAGGTGTTTAATCCCAAATACCACAGGTTGTACAGCTGACCGGATTCCAAAAAGAAAACAATTCTTTAAAAACAGAAAACTCCGCTCTCCAGTCTGTGATAGAAGGACTCCGGGCTGAACGAAACCTCTGGTCAAAAGAGCTTGCCGAGCAGGTCAGTTTATTTTAACAATTTAGATTGATATTTTTGAAAATATGTGCTCTTTAGATAAAAATATAAATAACTCTGAAAGACTTAAATTATGTCGAATTCCCCTTACTTAATAAATAGCTAGTGAGAACATGACTCTTATACACGTGATGCCCATATAAAGAGTGTCTTATATTTCAGGGTGCACAACTAGCTGTTGACAGGGGAGATTTACAGAGTGACCTAAAGGGGCTGAGGAGAGAGTTAGTTGAACGCAGTGAACAGTTACAATCCCTAACTGACACTTCCCGAATCAAGGAGCTCCAGCTCAACGGTTTCTTTACTTAAATAATTGCCAAAGTTCCCCAGTGTGAATTACTCTGTCAAATTCACCCCCACCCCCCCCCCCCCCCCCCCCCCCCCCCCCTCCCAGTTCAAGACGCTTTACTTTACACAGGTAGTTCACTTGCCCCCCTCCCCCAGTTCACGTGCCCACTATTTGTCCATATTCTATCTAGCGTCCAGCCTAATTAACGTAATAACTTCAGACGCTATGGAAACTATAACGAAACTAAAGCAGACGATAATAAGTAATCAGGGTGATAAAGAAGAGATGAGGAAGCTGCAAGAAATAATAGAGAGCGTCTCTCAGGTATAAATATACTTTATACTACTAATGTTTCATTATTTTTTAATTTTCTTTCTTCACGGCACTTTGAGTCTTGTCCAACATTTGAATTCGAAGAAATATTTTAAGTTTTTACTGACTTTAGTTTGTTAAGGAGAGGGAAGACGCAGAGATAAGAGTTGAAGCTATAAAGCAGGCTCTGCATAGCTGTCAGGAGGAAAAGGAGGAAGTGTTACTGAAATTCCAGGATGTTACAGAGGAGGTTAGTTTTTAGCTCATACTAATGATATTTTTTAAATTTCAAAATTCAAATAAACTTTACATCAATGTATTACAGTTATATTTAGAAAAGACCACAATATCTCCTGTGAGGAAATAACATTCTCACGTAATTGTACTTTATTTTAGAGTGATCGAGTTAGAAGAAAGTACAAAGACTTAAAACAGCAATGGGAAGACAAGATAACTGTCTTTGAAACTGTGGAGAAGTAAGTTTTTATACCGTGAAGAAGGGGCGCTCATAATCACCCATAATCATGAGGGGGCAGAGGTGGGGGGGCACGATAATCATGAGGGTAGGGGGCACATAATCAGGAGGGTGGGGCAGAGGGCACATATTCATGAGGGTGGGGCAGAGGGACCTAATCATGAGGGTGGGGCAGGGGGCACATAATCAGGAGGGTAGGGGGCACATAATCATGAGGGGGGGGGGGGGGGGCAGGGGTCACATAATCATGAGTGGGGCCGGCCGCTGGGGGCACGATAGTACTATTCAGTAAGATTGTGCCATTATGTGTCAGAAATATTGACATAATGTTTAACATGACATAATATAACCTGGCAGAGCAACAGAGGAGATGAAGGAGCGCCACACGGAGCAGGAGGGGAGGTGGAGGAGGAGTATCGAGGAGGAGAAGGAGAAGATAACAAGGTTAGAGGAGGAGATCAAAGTGTTGGAGGATAAACATGAGCTGGAACTGAAGCGACAGGTAGCTCACTACTCACCATAATATGGTTATTGGATATCAATATAATTGTATACGCATGTTTGTGATTAATTTTCTAATTCATGATTTATGTAACTGTAACAGTAACTGTATACTGTACATATTATTTCAGGAGGAAGACGCAGAGAAGAACGCGCAGAGCTCAGTTCTAAGAGAGAAGAGTTACAAAGAAGAATTAGCGACATTGGAGCAGGAGATGAGACTTATAATTCATCAGTCACAGCAAATGAAGAAGGAAAATGACGCTAAATTATCTAAACTTGCCGGTGCTTTGGGTGAATTCACAACTTTTCTACAGCCAAAATAATCAACTGTCTGAGCAAGAATAGACTATTATAGTTTTAAAACCTTAGAGATCACAGTCAGGGGTGTAGGAAGCAGGGGGCGGGCCGGGGGGGGGGGGGGGGGGGCAGGGGAGATCACAGTCAGGGGTGTAGGAAGCAGGGGGGGGGGGCGATCACACCCCTGATGACAGTATTTCTAGTGGTTTGTGTATAAGATAATATGAGTGTAAGCTATAAAGAAGAGAAGTTTTCGTTGGATTGATAGAATGGATACAATGGAAAAGCCGATACAATGGAAAAGCCGATGAAGCACCCCATGACTGTTATATTGAGTTGACATTTTTATTATGACAAATTATTTTTATCAGATTATGTAAATATGTATATTATGTGAATAGAATGCAAATATTGATAACTTAAATAAATTGTTGACAACTTTATCTTATTGTATATATTGTGATTCACTATCAAAATAAGGGAGATCTCGCGACTATATCATCTGCCCCAATTATGAGCAACCCAGATTTTGGAGGGAACCGGGCAAGGTAACAACAAGTAATTTACATTATTGTTGCTGAAATAACCATGAATATTAATCAAGGTAACAACAAGTAATTTACATTATTGTTGCTGAAATAACCATGAATATTAATCAAGGTAACAACAAGTAATTTACATTATTGTGGCTGAAATAACCATGAATATTAATCAAGGTAACAACAAGTAATCTACATTATTGTTGCTGAAATAACCATGAATATTAATCAAGGTAACAACAAGTAATTTACATTATTGTGGCTGAAATAACCATGAATATTAATCAAGGTAACAACAAGTAATCTACATTATTGTGGCTGAAATAACCATGAATATTAATCAAGGTAACAATAAGTAATTTACATTATTGTGGCTGAAATAACCAGGATACATAATGTATGAAGACTTTGTTTAATTAATTATTATTATTATTATAAAGGGTCTCAATAAGAGGTCTCGACTGCCTAGGCGTCAGACCTTGGCAGTCGGTAGTTTTCCTCTGGCCCGGGATCAGCTGACCCTAGGGACCAGAGGATAAAGGTGTAGAAACTATATGTATCTACAAAACTTTCAAGGTTGTTTTTACAAGAGACAGGGCTTGCTGCGCAAGGGAAGAAAAGCGGGAGAAACACTCACAAATTATACAAATAAATATTATTATTATTATAAAGGGTCTCAATAAGAGGTCTCGACTGCCTAGGCGTCAGACCTTGGCAGTCGGTAGTTTTCCTCTGGCCCGGGATCAGCTGACCCTAGGGACCAGAGGATAAAGGTGTAGAAACTATATGTATCTACAAAACTTTCAAGGTTGTTTTTACAAGAGACAGGGCTTGCTGCGCAAGGGAAGAAAAGCGGGAGAAACACTCACAAATTATACAAATAAATATTATAAAACATAGCAAAAAGAAATTCAAACAATCCTACACTACTACAAATGTTTATTACACACTACAATGTGATACATGATAATTACATGCTGTATAGACAAGAAACAGGGCTTGCAGGGCAAGAGATGGATCAAAGGGACTAGTCACAGAGTGTAATATACAGTGATTCAGCAAGAACCCATTGCTGAATCTGGCACACAAAATACCACAATCAATAAAAGAATATACAATATATCAAACAATATGTTTATACAAGAATCAGGGCTTGCAGAGCAAGAGGAGAAAAATAAGAGAATACTACCATCAACTGTATATACCGCAGTCCATCAGATAGGTAATCATTACTAATACACAAATCAGCAGGGCTAACAACAATATAAAATCCATAATAAATACTCAATCTACCCAATATACGAGTTAAAAATTGTATAAACAAGAGACAGGGCTTGCATAGCAAGGGAAGAAAAATAAGAGGACCAGGTAAAAAGTGTTTATTACAGTATCCAGTGAGGAATAAACTAAATATAGAGTATCTACAGTGTATTATACTCTCAATAATATCATATGTCTAAGACCATCCTGAGAATCCTGGCTGATCCAAGCAGAGCTGTCTTCTGGAGATTAGAGATGCTCAGATTGCAGTGGACTGCGTCGAGGTGTTTACGAAAGTTTATGGTGATAGTTCCTAATGCGCCTATCACCACAGGGACGATTGTGACCTTTCGTAAATTCCAGTTCTTCTTAATTTCTCTTTTCAGGTCTTGATATTTCAGAATCTTTTCTTGTTCTCTATCCAAGATCCGGGTATCTCCTGGGACTGCAACGTCAATGATGGTTGCTGCGTTGGTTACCTTGTCTACCAGGAGGAGATCCGGTCTACAGTGTTCGATAACGTGGTCCGACTGGACATGGAAGTCCCACAATATCTTGACTTGTCCGTTCTCCAGCACCTTCTCTGCCCGGTGTTCGTACCACCTTTTACTGCGTGGGAAGCCGTATTCCTTGCACAGACTCCAGTGCAATGCGGCAGCTACTTTGTCATGCCGACACTTATATTCTGTCTGTGAAAGTTTTGGGCACCCATTCAGTATGTGGTCTATTGTCTCGTAATGATTTCTGCAGAGTCTGCAGAGGGGAGAAGAGCCAGGTGTTTTGTCAATCCTGTGCTTCACGTAATTAGTCCTAAGTGCTTGGTCTTGGGCTGCTATCAACAATCCTTCTGTCTCCTTCTTCAAATCTTGTTGGGTGAGCCAGTTCCAAGAGGTTAACGGGTCTGCTGTACCCATCATCTGCCTTGGGAACTGTCCGTGCATCACTTTAGCAGTCCATTTCTCCTTGCGGATTTCCTCGCGTTGTGTTCGGTCAATATCTTTCTCTATCTCTTCACCCAAGAGTATCTTGTCTTTGACAAAGTAGTCCTTCAGAGCAATCAGTTCTGGGTCTCTACTTCTCACCACATAAGTGGTGAGTGCATTCTCCTCTCTCTTAACGACTTCCTCTATACTATGTAGCCCACGGCCACCCAGTTGACGGCTGACGTATAACCGATCAACATCTCCTTGGGGGTGGTGAGCTCCATGTATCCTCATCAGTTTCCGGGTCTTGACATCTAAGGCTTTGGTCTCCCCAGCATTCCATGAGAGAATTCCAGCTCCATATCTTATCACAGGTACAGCCCAGGTGTTAATCGCTTGTATACTATTCCTGCCATGAAGCTGGGATTTCAAAACCTTTTTAACTCTTCTGATATACTCTTTTGTAACCAGTGCTTTCATCTCTTTGTGTAGTATATCATTAGCTTCTAGTATTCCGAGATACTTATAGCCGTCGTCCTCCAACTCATGGATCTGTTCACCTGTGGGTAGGGAGATGCCTTCAAAAACGGCTCTTGCTCCCTTCTTCACCTTCACCACGGCACATTTCTCTAGCCCAAATTCCATTTTTATGTCACTGCTGAACTCTGCTGTGGTATTAACCAGTGTGTGCATTTCGTCTTCACTCTCGGCATACAACTTGAGGTCGTCCATATATAGCCTATGCGACACTTTCGGTTGACCTCCTCTCTCCAGAGAGTATCCTATGTCATGCTTATTCAAAAGAATGGACAGGGGTATAAGGCTAATGATAAAGTGGATAGGTGAGACTGAGTCTCCTTGGAATAGACCTCTATTAATTTTAATTCTCCCAAGGGAAACTTTACCAAGCATCAGGTTAACATACGATTGTTTGAAGGAGGCTTCAAACAGATCTATGATGGATGAAGAGATACCACACATGGTCAAACAAGATAGAATCCAGGAGTGTGGGACGCTATCATACGCCTTCTTGTAGTCTATAAACGTCATGTTCAGGTTCCGCTTCCTTCGTTTACAGTTCTTCAGGATGAGTTTGTCTATCATTAACTGTTCTTTACATCCTCTACTCTTCTTCTTGCACCCTTTCCGCTCAGGGGGGAGGAGCTTTTGCTGGTCTAAATGGTGGTAAATGGAATCTGAGATTAGACCAGTGAACAGTTTCCACATAGCTGATAAGCAAGTAATTGGTCTGAAATTGCCTGGGATGGGTCCCTTGGAATGATCCTTAATGAGCAGGTACGTGCGACCCAGTGTCATCCATTCTGGGATATCAGCATTGGACAGGCAATTCATAAGTTGATCTGCAATCCTATTGTGGAGTTCTTTAAAGTGCTTTATCCAATAAGCATGCAGTCCGTCTGTACCAGGAGAGGACCAATTAGTCATTTTCTTCACTCTATCTGCAACCAGGGTGTTAGTTATAACAAACTGTCTCTGTTCATCTGCTGAGGCTAGTGCTGTTCTGACATCCGGTAACCATTCAGCATCACTGTTGTGTTCAACCGGCTGCTCCCATATGTTCTTCCAGAACTTCAGACAAGAATCCTTGTCAGCCTCAGGGTGGGAGATATCCTGTTCTTCAGGGTTTGTTTGAAGGTTTCTGTAGAACTGCCTCTGGTTGTTTCCAAACAACTTGTTCTGGTGGTATCGTTCGCATCTTTTATTAAATCTCTTTATCTTAGCTGCTTTTGCGCGAAGACGTTGCTTGAGCTCCTCAATGATGCATGGTATACCCTTTTTCTTCAACAGAGGGTGACGTCTGTTGAGCCCTTCTAGTATTTTTTGTTTAAGGGTAGTACCTTTCTTCTTCTCCTCAAGGTAGGAGATGTCTTTCCTAACCTGGGTAATCTTATCTTCGATTCTTCTTTTCCATAGTGGAGTTTTCCGTTTCCCTGTATTCTTATTTGCAGGTTTTTCACCAAGTCTTTCGCTGACTAAATGTGCCCCTGCAAGCAATAGGGTGTTGGTTTCAGTGATTGAAGAAGTTGGAATCTCTGCTATACATGAGTTGATGAGAGATGTTTCCTCCATAAGCTTCTTTCTGTTCACATGTCTCAGGGGCTTGGTTTCTATCACTGAAGGGTCTTCTAGGAGCCTTTTTAGCCGTTCAATGATTGCCTCCTTGTCAAAATCAGGTACCGTTGTGGTGGGGGTGAGTTCTTCGGCGGCGACAGTTGGGATAGTTGCATCCCTCAACGTCCTGATTGCTTGGGAGACTGTGGGTAAAGCTTGAGTTGTCGTTGTTGGAGCCTCTTCCACTACGCTAGGTGGAAGAGTACCTCGAATCTCCATTAGTTCTATGTCTGAAAGGAGATTATTATTTCTGATTGACCTTGCTTGGTCTGCCAATCTTTGTTCCGTACAAGTGAAGAGTCCGGCATCATCCCACAGTGATCGGAGTCTTCTCCTGTAACCAGAGCGGGATGGTTGGCTCTGGTAATACAGCGTCATGAGCTGTATGTTGTCCTCCTTGCTCCACGTGTGCCGAGTGGAAGTCTCCGTGCGAGCCTTCCTCTCACGTCGAGCTGGAGGGATGATGTTAGGTTGTTGATCCTGCTCTGACCCATTAGTAGGGAGAGTAGGAGAGTTTGAAAAATTTGAGAGAGAATTCATATCATAACTGGGGGACTTAGTATACCCCCTAGAGAGTTGGCAGGGAAAACAGAGCACTGAGCGTTGCCCCGCGTCGCCCAGCTCCCCAGGTAGCTACCTCCTGGGTAGTAGACTCGTTAGTAACCATTTAACCCATGGCCACGCATCCTTTTGTCACGAGTCCACAACTTAAGATTGGGGGACTTCTGCGGGTCAGTCCATGCCCGATAAGAAAACCACTAGGTGTCAATTGCACCTAGTCAACAAACCAAGAGCTAGAGCAGAAGGATACAAGAATTTAACCAACGAGAGGCAAGAAAGGGAATTAACCGGGGGACAATTAACAAACAATACAATGAAATATAAAATGATTACAATGTTATAATTACTCGAGTATAGTAACATTATAGATAGTAATATTTCCAAAGGAATGATATTCTTTCAGTACCAGCAGTCTGTGCTGCTATGATATGGAATAAAAATCAGGGGATATATTATCTTAAAATACTGCTTTCTCAGTTACAGATATTTTTCTTGGTTTTTCCATTTTGTGCTTTTTTTTTTTTTCTTTTTTTTTTCTTTTTAACTTTTTTTGTAATTTTCTTTTCTTTTTTCCCTCCTAAACATGAATATTAAGCAAGTACAAAATCTCATGATAACATTAAGTGATGTTGAGAAGGGACATAAGAGCCTGAGGTTCTGGTGGTCTACAGGTGTTTCACCAGCTGTTTCCCTGCGGTTTCTTTGCGTTCGCGACTATACCCATTTGTGATTCTCCTGTGTGGACGCAGGTATGACAAATCATATATCATCTTAAAGTACACACTCAGACTCGGAGATCACAACCTTAATCAGTTCTAGGGATTGTTCCTGGGTAGAGTTATGAAGGTTTAAAGCTTTCGTGCCGCGCAATCGCCCCAAAATGGCTAAAAATGTGTACTGTCGAAGAATAACTTTGCGCATGGAGTGCGCGAGCACGTCAATTTGATAGTTAAAATTGTATTTTGAGTATCTAATTAACAGCTAAGTTCGCTAAGCCTAATGTCTTCACATGATCACCCGAGACTCGAATCGAGTTCGAAACCGACCCAGACCCATATTCACATTTTTTATCCGAAACAAGTAGGATGACTTGTTAGAACAACCATGTGGAGGTATCATTTTGTTAATAGTAAGTTCAAGTCATTTTGTACTCATAGTTGGATAATATCCGGTTGGAAGAGACAAGGACAAGTGAAACAAGGAAATTAGGAGTGAGGGCAAATTTTCATTTTCTTTGAAAAATAAAACATTTTAATTTAAGGTTCTAATCTCACATAAAAACAAATTAACATTTTGATGTGATATCAGAGAATTGTTCGAGAGGTAAGGTCTAGGTATTCTTATCTCATCGTAGAAAATCTTTGGCAGAACTTCACTGCAACTCCCAATCTGAAAGAAATTGAATTGTCTTAAAAAGTCTCATATAAAAACGATTACAGGGGTAGGGGTTTCCAGATTTTAGCTATTTTCATTTCACCTTGAATTCAGTAATTTTAGAATGGATATGGCCTGAGTTCCACCTACCCCGGAACATAAAATCACTACAGGGGTAAAGATTCTCGGTCTGGATTTTACCTGAATTTCAGTAATTTTGGGATGGGCGTGGTCCCTAGGAGTGGCCTGAGTGGGTTGAGAAGTCGAAACTTAATTTTTATGATGGTTTGGGACAAGTACTACCTATTTAAACACTAAAACATGTGCCACCTACTCCGGAACAAAAAGCATCACAGGGGTAAAGATTCTCGGTCTGGATTTTACCTGGATTTCAGTAATTTTGGGATGGGCGTGGCCCCTGAGAGTGGCCTGAGTGGGTTGGGAGGTCGAAACTTGATTTTTATGATGGTTTGGGATAGGCAGTACCCATTTTTATGCTAAAACATGGGCCACCTACCCTGGAACATAAATCGCATACGGGGGTAAAGATTCTCAGTCTGGATTTGTATGGGATTTGGCCTGGATTTCAGCTATTTTGGGATGGGCGTGGCCCCTGGGAGTGGCCTGAGTGGTTTGATAGGTTGAAACTTGGTTTTTTAATGGTTTGGGATAGGCAGTACCCATTTTTATACTAAAACATGGACCACCTACAGCTACCCCGGAACATAAATCGCATACGGGGGTAAAGATTCTCAGTCTGGATTTGTATGGGATTTGACATGGATTTCAGCTATTTTGGGGTGGGCGTGGCCCCTGGGAGTGGCCTGAGTGGTTTGAGAGGTGGAAACTTGGTTTTTATGATGGTTTGGGATAGGCAGTACCCATTTTTATACTAAAACATGGGCCACCTACCCCGGAACATAAATCGCATACGGGGGTAAAGATTTTCAATCTTGATTTTGCCTGGATTTCAGCTATTTTGGGATGGGCGTGGCCCCTGGGAGTGGCCTGAGTGGTTTGATAGGTTGAAACTTGGTTTTTTAATGGTTTGGGATAGGCAGTACCCATTTTTATACTAAAACATGGACCACCTACCCCGGAACATAAATCGCATACGGGGGTAAAGATTCTCAGTCTGGATTTGTATGGGATTTGACATGGATTTCAGCTATTTTGGGGTGGGCGTGGCCCCTGGGAGTGGCCTGAGTGGTTTGAGAGGTGGAAACTTGGTTTTTATGATGGTTTGGGATAGGCAGTACCCATTTTTATACTAAAACATGGGCCACCTACCCCGGAACATAAATCGCATACGGGGGTAAAGATTTTCAATCTTGATTTTACCTGGATTTCAATTATTTTGGGATGGGCGTGGCCCCTGGGAGTGGCCTGAGTGGTTTGAGAGGCCGAAACTTGGTTTTTATGATGGTTTGGGATAGGCAGTACCCATTTTTATACTAAAACATGGGCCACCTACCCCGGAACATAAATCGCATACGGGGGTAAAGATTTTTAATCCTGGATTTCAGCTATTTTGGGATGGGCGTGGCCCCTGGGAGTGGCCTGAGTGGTTTGAGAGGTGGAAACTTGGTTTTTATGATGGTTTGGGATAGGCAGTACCCATTTTTATACTAAAACATGGGCCACCTACCCCGGAACATAAATCGCATACGGGGGTAAAGATTTTCAATCTTGATTTTACCTGGATTTCAATTATTTTGGGATGGGCGTGGCCCCTGGGAGTGGCCTGAGTGGTTTGAGAGGCCGAAACTTGGTTTTTATGATGGTTTGGGATAGGCAGTACCCATTTTTATACTAAAACATGGGCCACCTACCCCGGAACATAAATCGCATACGGGGGTAAAGATTTTTAATCCTGGATTTCAGCTATTTTGGGATGGGCGTGGCCCCTGGGAGTGGCCTGAGTGGTTTGAGAGGTGTAAACTTGGTTTTTTTGATGGTTTGGGATAGTCAGTACCCATTTTATACTAAAACATGGGCCACCTTACCCCGGAACATAAATCGCATACGGGGGTAAAGATTTTCAATCTTGATTTTACCTGGATTTCAGCTATTTTGGGATGGGCGTGGCCCCTGGGAATGGCTTGAGTGGGTTGAGAGGTCGAAACTTGATTTTTATGATGGTTTAGGATAGGTACTACCTATTTCACCACCAAAACATATTCCAAAATCCTCTTCATAAACCAAGCGAACGCGTGTGCAGTTATAAATTGTGCGCGCGCGCCAGCCTTTCTGTCAAAGTGTGGCTAAACAAATTTTTTTTCAACACGAAAATCTTGAAATTTGCTAGTTTCAGAAGATAAATCCATCAATTTCCATGAATTTGGGACATTGGGACATCGAAGTGTTTGCTGTATTTAAGTGCTGGGAATTGGGTTAAGCCTCCATTCGATTTTCTAAAATGGATATAGTTATACTTATAAGCTAAGCTTACGAGTCATCAAAAGTCGCGTAAAATTACCCAGGTTCATGGAATGAACCGAAATGAACGAAAATGAATATTCTCCTAAAAGTGCTCAAAGCTCCCGTGTTTGACATGGTAAAAAACCGAAATATCTCTGATAGGGGGGGGGGGAGGGGGGGGGGAGGGGGGGGGGGTACCAATGACATAAATTGCATAATGGAGAATTGGACAATAAAAATTTCCATTTATGCCATAAAACGTATGCCATTTTATGCCATTGGTACCCCCCCCCCCCCCCCCCCTGATATAAACCCGCAAAAGTGTTATTTAACAAGGGCAGTTACCTGCTCTGTCCAAGCGGGCCGGGCAGGTTGTTCAGAGGGTCTTTGTTATGGTTGCCGGGCAACATGTTGTTCTGGTTGCCTGGTCACAGGTTCCTCTTCGTCACAGACCATGTGCATGGCCTCCACAGACTGAGTACTGGCGCTCCGTTCTCTCACACACTGCTGCTTATCAGAGGGGCGGGCTGGTTGGGAAAGTACTGGTGACCATCTTTCGAGGGAGAGAGTGGCATGGTGGGTCATGTGGTTCAGGCTCACCATATCAACGGGGCCCTCCTCTTCTCCCTCTCGTAGTCTCGTTCCGCATCATAACTACTACAGTCACGTCTCCACCCTAGTGAGATATAGTGTTAATTGAGGAATAATATTTCTTTCTGAACTTCATAATGTGGTGAAATCAGCAAGTAACATCAAACAGGCAATTTTTGGTGAACATGATGAGTAAGGTACATGGAAAATGGTAACTTTTGGTGAACATGGCGAGTAAAGTACATTAAAATTGGGAAATTTTGTTAGATATGGCGAATGAGATACCTCAAAACTGGTAACTTCTGGTGAAATTAGCGAGTAAGCTACACTAAAACTGGTAACCAAATAGGTAACTTTGGGGTGAAAATGACAAGTAAAGTACACCAAAACTGGTAACTTTTAGTGACCATGGCATGGTGCGAGCTAGGTACATAAAAACTGGTTACTTTTAGTGAACATGGCGAGTAGAACGGGGACCCTAATGATCCAAATACTTATCGACCAATATCCATATTCCATACTCCCCTTACTTGGGAAATGTATAGAATACTTTGTTAACCAACAGCTTACCGAGAACATTGAAACAAATAAACTGCTCACCAACCAGTTATGGAAGTGACAATGACTTGGTGAATGTTGTCCAGAAATACGAAGGTCACTTGAGACGAACTCGTAGTTTTAGTGAAAGTGAGAGTCAGCAAGCCACAAACTCCACCACAGCACCGAAAGGAAAAAACTGTTTCAGTTTGTGAAGAAAACGGGATCTACGCTTAGATCTCGCCTCGTTACATCTAAACAGCTTGCCTTAGGTGCTAAACATGGTAAAACTGAACCCTGTCACAGAAGAAACTGCAAGTGTTGTAAAATGATCATGAGTAAGGACTCCATCACATCAAATGGCAAAAAGATCAAATCAGCCCCTGGTTGTTGCAAGACCTATAACATCATCTATCTTGTACAGTGTTCGATTTGTAAGAAAAACTATGTGGGTAGGACTATTAATAGCTTGCATAAAAGGATGGACGGACACAGGTCCAAATTTTATGAAATCATTGATGGTAGAGCATTTGATATTACTAGTGATGAGTATAGCCTAGGAGTTCACTTGATTGACTACGGTTTAGGAGTACATTATACATACAGATTTTAATGAAACTTTTATAACTTTTATTTTAGAGAATTGCAGTCCCAGTACACTTGAAGTAAAAGAAAATAACTACATACATTTGCTTAATTCTCTTAGACCTTTTGGCCTTAATACTGTCAATCCCTTTGGATTACCTATATTCCATAAACCTTAATATGATCTTTTTACCTTTTTCGGATTCTTAATTTTGTAACGGCTCGAGTTTCACTAACCTTTTAACATTTTTTAGGTTCAATGTCACTGGAGATGACTACAATCGAAATATATTTGGCAAGAATCTGAATGTTTTCAGTGTTGAAAGTTTAGTTTCTTAAATCCTGGAGTAGTCATTCGTGTCCCTGATATTTGGGTTAATTCTAACTCTCCTGCTCACCAACCATCAGTTTGGATTTAGGAATAATCAAGGATCTGAGAATATTCTTCCGCCCCGAGGTTCGAGACCTGGAACGGCCCTAAGGAACAAATTTGGCTTGGGTAGACTTTCTGAATACGAGGCTTTCTGAATATGAAGCAGTTTTGCGCAATTGACCACGCCTTTTTTGGCACTTTCGCGATATATAAACCCACATATCTCAATTTCTGATTGGAGAAAGGAGATCAATGCAAAATGGGTATAAAAATGACCAGAATCATCACATTTAGGGGGTAGAACCTGGTTTCAAAGTCCTCACGCTTAAGGTTGATGAGTTATGTGACCACGCCCTTCTACGCGTACGCTCTCGCGAGTAACAATTATCACACTTATTTCATGATATGATCTCAGCTTCTGATGGGAGTAAAGGGCTCATCTTTGGCATACAAATGGTCAGAATCATCACATCGAGTGGGGTAGATCATGGTTTTAAAGTCTACAGACTTCAGGTTGTTGAACTATTAGGTCAAAACGTAACTTAAGGCTCTCGCGAGCCGAAATTTATGTACTTATTACAAGATATCTCAGCTTCTAATGGGAGCTAAGGGCTCATCTTTGGCATACAAATGGTCAGAATCATCACATTGAGTGGGGTAGATCATGGTTTTAAAGTCTGCAGACCTTAGGTTGTGGAGTTATAAGGTCAAAATGTAATTTTAGGCTCTTGCGAGTAGTAGTTAATTTACTTATTACAAGATATCTCAGCTTCTGATGATAGCTAAGCGCTCATCTTGGCCATAAAAATGGTCAAAATCATCACATTGAGTGGGTAGAGCACGATTTTAATGTCTACAGACTTCAGGTGTACGAGTTATTAGGTCAGACCCCATTTTTACCCATGTATACAAGCACAATATACATTATACATAACAAGCACTATGTACTAGCAATAAGTCCGATAAAAAACTTATAGAGAAAGTTCTGACTTTTGCACTTTAAAACAACTGATCGGTATAAGTTATAACGTAGGATGCCACGACCATTGATGAAAGTGTTACTCGCAGCCCAAATTGGCACTGGGTGTGAAACTCAGTCAAGAATAGGTACCAAATTGTCAGCCTTAAAGGCGATTCCGGAAATGTACCTTGAAGGCTTTGAGTAGAACTAAATGAAGCTCAGATCAAGAAATTTGAGGAATACTTGGTGAAAGTTTTTAAAGCTTACAACAGAGTTTGTCACATTTGACATGTTGAGAGCCTATCAATATAGTAATATTGATTATAAATTTGACTTGCCACCAACATCGCACTCTATTGTAAAGGGGACACATCCCAAGATTACCGGTCTTTCGTCAAAGACCAGTCCAATATGTTGGTCACATGTTTCTGTAAGAACAAAGATATCGACAACAGATGTGGCGGGAGATGTAAATTCTCAAAGAAAGGTGTGCTTAGCTATGCTTATTGTGTCTGCCAAAGACAGATCAGGCCCACCTAACTCAACCTAAGACTCTAAGAGATAGAAGCCATTAAAACCTTCAAGAAATACACGTAAAAAGGCTAACAAAGAGTAAGTTTATATATTTCGGTATTGATCAATCATTGCATATGAATGATGAACTGTTACTTGAATATCCCGTAAAACGAAAATCTGACTATTTTATTTGTTATCAAGGGAAAGTTAAATACTATTATATATTCATCAAATAGATTATCATCCTATATTGAGTTGTGATCTCATGTTTCAATTTTGAAAATGTATGTCCATTTACTACATAACAATAGATTAGCAGAACAGTCTACTGCTTGTTTATTTGCAGATGACAGTGCACTATATTTTGATAATATCACTTGAGGCTCGTCTGACAATGTAGTAGAAGTAGTATAAAGATTTTATATGAATGGCTTAGAATTAACAGGCTGAGATTAAATGTTTCAAAATCCTCATTCATAGTATTCGACAAATGTCCTAATCTTGATAGACTGTCGATCCCTCTTGATTTGGAACATGGCAGTCTTCACATAAATCCCAGAAATACCTAGGTCTGGTAATAGACAACCTTTTAAACTTTCAGGACCATATAATATTGATTATGTAAGATCATGTTAGTAGGAGAATAGGAGCATTATTATAATCTAGGTTTTAAAAAACTACATACATCTCGCTTGAATGACTTAAATGTACATCTTTGTTGGGTATATTTTAATGTCGAAGCGTGTAATAAATGTTAGAATTTATTTATTTATTTATTTATACTTCCACTGAAATATAGAAAAATGTTTGTAAACGCTCTTATGCTTCCTCAATTTGATTAAATGGATATTATAGCTGATTTTACATTTTGAATGCTTTAGACTAGTTTCTAGTACAATTGCCCACAATTTAATACTCTGTACTCAGATTAAAAACTAACTCACCTAGCAAAAGGGATCGGAGAGAGCGAACAGGACTGTTGTGTTATTATCCCATAACGTCAGAATGTATAGTAGTTCATCTTGAGAAGAAAACATTTCCACTTATACTCTTCATCACATTCTGACAAATATTTATCATTGATATATAGTATAATTACACAGCAGACTTCTATTTTGATTTGAACGGGTCATGTTTCAAGCAAATTAGGAGCCCTTACCACTGCCGTAGATTATAAGTCCATATTTTTTTTTTTTTTTTTATTAAATACTTTTCAAATTTTACAGAGTACAGCAATAGATGAATATAAAATAGAATCGTTCAAAATATCGCCCCCATCTGTAAAATATGATGGGCACCCAAACACGGTAAACACATAGTGAACTATGTCCGCAGTAACTTGGACCCATTACATCGAATTAATCTAAATCCAAAAATTTATGAAAAACTATTTAATAACAAACAAATCCATGGTGAATAACTGTGGATATATAGTCAAAATTGGTATTTCAATACGTCAAATTCCAGATACATTAGATACAGGTCTGATATGGTCATTAATGTGTGAGGTGTGCGGGTGAAGTGTGATATGATGTTGAAAGTATAAGAAGGTAGATAAAAAAATTAATAAAACAAAAATAATAATAATATGGGGAGCAAAGAGACTAGGCTAGGCTGTTGTTTCACTATCCAATAAACATTTCCATAGATGCTTAGTGACCTCAGCTTTGAAAACACTTGTAGACACAATCTGTCTTACCTGTAAAGGGAGTCCATTCCACAGTATATGAGTTCTGTAGAAAAATGATTTTGCCAGTGGGCTATTTGAGGTACATAAGGTGTGTGAATTCTGACTTAACTTAGGTAAAATTGATGACACAATAGACAGACTGTCGAGGTGGCAACGTCTTAGTCGAGAAGTGCCCTGATATAAAGTGAGATAGTGAGGCAGCGATACAGGAATTAAATTGTTCAGAACTTTGTGGAAAAAAATAAGATCGTTCAAGTCAAACTTTTGAGACAAAGGGAGAATGTCGACAAGCTTGCACTTTTTGACATATTGCTCGGGTGGATAACTGCGGCCCTCTTCAGACAGAATCCATTTAATAGCTCTCTTTTGGAGACTTTCTAATTTATCACTAAGTGATTTATTACAAGGGCGCCAGATTATGGAACAATTTTCGAATTGGCTACGAACCAGGGAGAGGTAAAGCGCCCGGCGACGTTTCTGATCAATGACAATATGGCCATCTCTTCTGACCATACCAAGTTGTTGGCAGGCCTTAGTATAAATTCTGTCGCACTGACTATTCCAACTGAGCTTAGGAGTAACATCGACTCCAAGATCTTTTTCTAACTCTACATACACAAGAGGAGAGCCATCAAGATTATATGCGAATGGAGGAGATAAAGATGGTTTTCCTGAAACAATAAGCACTTTACATTTTGCTGGATGGAATCGCATTTTGTTTCTAAGTGCCCAGTCAGAGAGATAGTCTATATCCATTTGTAAATTGGTATTATCAGAAGATGAATGTATTTTACGCCAGATTTTTGTATCATCGGCATACAAAACAATATCAGTATTATCCGAAAGGCCAAGAGGAATATCATTGATAAACAATACAAAAAGTAAGGGACCAAGGATAGAGCCCTGGGAGACACCAGAATTAACTGAGAGGGTAGATGACATCTCATTACCAATAACCACTCTTTGGTAACGGCCTTGAAGGTAATTGGTAAGAAATTTGAGAAGTGTACCATCAATGTTATATAAGGTCTTTAGCTTATGAAGAAGGATATCATGATTTACAGAATCAAATGCCTTAGCAAAATCAAAATACACAACATGATTGATAATGTTTTCGTTAAGAGACAATGCCAGGCTATCACAAAAATCAACCATATTGGTTGTGCATGACTTGTGCTCTAGAAAACCATGCTGCCTGGGATCAAGAAGGGTACTTGTCAAAGAAAGCAGTTTACGTTTAACAATGCGCTCAAAAACTTTCATGACTAAACAAGTAAGGGATATTGGTCTATAGTTTTCAACCTCACTTTTCTTACCTTTCTTAAATATTGGGACAACATTTGCAAGTTTCCATTCTTGTGGAATGTAGCCGCTGTTGTAGGATCCACGAAAAATGCATGTTAGAGGGTAAGCTAAACCTACGGAACAATTTTTTAGAATTTTACCGTGTATGCCATCTGGTCCCTGGGCTTTATTTGAATTAATATTTGAAAGAAGCTTACGAACATCCCGATGATCGAAGTCAATATCAAAATCAACATCATTGACATAGGAGATGTCAGTGTCATAAAGTGAAGGATCCGAAAACTGGTTATAAAAGAAAGAATTGAAAAGTTTAGCTTGATCTTTGGGATTGAACCGAAGCTGTCCAGAATAACTAACACAATTAGGAATACGGCAGGAGTTAGATTTATACTTAACATGTGACCAAAACTTCTTAGTTATAAGCGCTGGATCATCACTATTAAAAAGATTATCTCTTATTTTGGCTGATGAGAGCCTCTTAAAATCTTTACGGCTAGTAACAAACTTTAACTCATCAGAAATAGAACCAGAAATTTTAAATTTAGCTCTGAGTCTATCTTTTTTACGGCATGAAGAAAAAAGTTCACTATCGAACCACGGGGGTTGGAACTCTGATTTAATAATTACTTTAGGAATATGTATATCAACTAAATTCATAATGCAGTCTTTAACTAACTTCCAAGACGAATCAGGATCTAGGCATTCTAGGACTTGCCAATTAATCGAGCATAATTCACGATTAATCATGTCCCAGTTTGCTTTCTTAAAATTATAGATTTTACGTTTAGGAGTTTTCTTACGGGAAAAGGAGCTTTTAATTGAAAAAGTGACAGGAAAATGATCAGATTTGCACACGGAATGAGGATCACAGACATTCAAGTTATCAATTGTGTTATCATAATTACTGAGAAGAATGTCTAATGTATTACCACTTTTATGGGTGGGTGATGTGATCAACTGGGAGAGAGAAAGATCACTGAAAGAATCTATGAAGGATTGCTCAATAGGTACGGTACTGGATGAAGATAGCCAGTCTGTATGGGGGAGATTAAAATCACCAATAACATAGATTTTAGGGGGATTCTTTTTGGAAACTAGCTTGCGAATATAACTAACTATGACATCATGATTAGGTAACCCAAGAGTTCCTACTCTATAACAAGTACAGATTACAATACTCTCTTTGTTAAGAAAAGAAATTTTAACGGCAAGCATTTCTGCACCTAGGCTAACTGGTAGTCGGGTTGTAGTGGCGTCGAGATCAGACCGAACAGCCAAAAGAACACCACCTCCATTTTCCCTAAACTTTTTAGGGTTATTAGGATCTTGAGGATGAGTCTTTCTCGTGCGGTCATTGCGGAAGATTTCATATTGAGAAGAAGGAAAGATTTCGTTGCTAGAAATAGATTTTTTGAGCCAAGTCTCATTTAGGGCAATTATGTCAGGCTGCTCTATGTTAGCAAAGGATTGAAGTTCGGAAATCTTATTACCATCAAGAAGGGGATGGGAGGAGCTTAGGTTACTGAAAGGAATGAGACCTTGGACATTTTGGTAGAGTACAGATAGAGAGTTGGGACCTGGATTAAGCATAGAAGGATTAACAAGAGTTATCAAAAGAAAGTTAAGAGAGAAAACCCAAAGAATGAATAAAGAGACTAGACGCCTGAGGCGGCTGGAATACTTGACTCTATTCATCTTACCAGGGAGAAAAACATTTCTTATAAACCATGAGGAGATAATTACAAAGAAAAGTTTGATGTGGGAGCAAGCAAGAAATGGTATAAGATAACGTGGGCTGTCAAGGAGTAGAGAGGAATGAATATTAGAATCTAGGGGGAATACGGTGTTCATGGACCTAACCGTGGAGAGAAGAATTGGGAGAAAGTAAGTCATGATGAGAGAATAGAAGAGAAACATATGATTATGATAATTGTAGTTGATGTGTGGGGTGTATGGAGACTTAAATGTGTAAATTTTGTTAGGTATAAACGTGTTGATATGTATAAGTGCATTTCTTGACTGTGTACGAGGCCTTTTGCATGCAAAAAGACCTATTCTAAGTCTAAACGATTCATTGTCTGGGGGGGGTGTAACCCAAAAAAACCCAAAAAAACCCAATCCCAGTATTACCTTTTTCAGGGTAGGAGTTGGGTTTTTTTGGGTTTTTTACAAATTTTTCATTTGAAGGAAATAAAATCATGTAGGCACCTAGCAAAACAATTATTAGTACAACATCACTGTTGTGGTTCATCACTACAACATCACAATAGATATAATCGCTTAAATATCACCCAAAAGCAGTATTTTATTCACTGATGTGCTCAGAAGAAGTTGGCCATCCAGATATGATATCAGCCATATGTAATGCTCACTTCGATGGCCATGGCAAATTGAGTTAGTAGGGACGCAACTCACTGATGACCCCAACCCTGACCGCAACCGGTACGAGAGGAATAAAGCCTTTCTTCTCACCTTCACGATCTCTGTTTCCGTTTTCCTGATCATCCGCTTAACGAGAAACCATGCTCTATCTCCAACTGAAAGAATCTTGCAGTTACCATCAGCTGCATGATCGCATGTGATATTGAGTGATATCTTCGCTTGTTTATGGCCCTGGAGTCGCTAAAATCTTGACTGGGATGGCATTCGATCTCGCCCTCCATTGAGGCAAACCTCAACAGCCGTATCATGATGCAGAGCATCACAATACACAGTTACTATTTTCGCCCATTCCTCTGATGAGTCAATATCCTCCACTTTACAAGTAGGCAGGTGGTCTTTCAATGGTTGTGTGAAGCTTAGGTGGCCCAAGGCGTCACCGCTGGATAGACGCTGGGTGGAAGCCCTGGTCTGATGTGAGGCTCCCAGAACTTTGAAAAGGGGTATCCTGCTGGTGCCCTCTTCCAGACACTCATCGGACAGCATGATGAAAGCCACTACCTCTGCGTGCTGAAGACTGGATAGTATCCAGTCTTCAGCACGCAGAGTGTGGATACTGGACAGGGGGTCCAGGCTAAAGGCAGGACGATCGACGGGAGACATTGAGCCCCGGTAGTTCAATAATTTGATCTATTGACTCCTTAACTCTTGGTCTACAAGAGGCTTTGAGACTCGTAAATCTTTACTGTGGATTGCACAGTAGCTAAAGAGGTGTTGGCTGTTACCCTGTTCAACCTAGTATACTATGACCATTGACCCAGCTAGACTGGACCACACTCTGGTGGTCAGGATACGGCTCCCTATGCCCGGGGTACCGGGTAACGAAGTAGTCAGGGGAAGGGTTAGTCCCCGCTAAAGTGTAGCTCTGTTCTCACTCTAACCTCCTTATGCTTTGGGATAAAATCGGAAAGTCCCACACTGGAGCAGGTGACGATTGGGTAAGGATTACAACTGATGCTGTTGGGTAGAAAAAGGAAGTGTCACATTTGTCTTGTATAGCATATTATGTTCGTGCAATTACATGCTCAAGATACCCAAGATATTATGGTGAGAGTTAAAGATGGCTATTGTTCAAGCGGATGCCCTTAACCTTTTAGTGGCGCAAGAGTTAAGAACACAATCCACTGCAGGGGACTGCACAGGATTGTGAGCCAACTGAAAAGTCAAGATGAAGTTTATCAACAGCTTACGGGTTAAAGCCCCTTATTTTTCTAGTGGAAGTGGTTGCCGGGGAAATTACGCTACTATTACAGAAGCTGATGACTCGGTCTCCACATCACGACAACCTATTTCTACAGAAAGTCAAACAAGAAAACATCAAAAAAATATGAACATCAATTGTATTGTATCATGTAAAAGGACTGCTAAGGTTAGCACATTTAACATAAGATTAAGAACAGCCAGAGAACAGCACAAACGCATCGAACTTGCAGAACTATTTTCTCGAAGCAAGCTGCACATCCTTGGCCTGCAAGAATCGAACATCGGGTAGCGCATGCTGATTGCTGAGAATACCAGAATAGAAAAGATGAACAAAGGGATTCATCCAGTGATATCATCTGCGTGGAGAAACGCAGCTGGCGCTTCTAATGGGAGAGTAGGAATCATCTTGACGAGTACAGCAGCGCATATGAGGCTATAAGTCTTATAAAATTATAAAATCTTACAGCGCAAGGATCCTCACCATGTCTCTTAATGGAAAGCCCAGGCTCACTGTCATCACATGCTACAGTCCTACAGAAGCCTCATCTGATGAGGAGGCATGAAATCTTTTTTGTCTAAAACCAAGCATCTTACAGTTAATTTAGTAGGAGAGGAGCCACACACAATAATTTCTAAGGACGGACATGCCTTAGAAGAAGTTGAGGATTTTAGTACAACGGAGCACGACTTTAGGTTACGCAAGGCCAAGGCATGGGCTGCCTACCACAAAATGTAGGCTATATGGAGGTCCAATTTGCGCCGAGATTTAAAGATCCGTCTGTTCAAGTTACGGTTGAATCAATCTTCCTGTATGGAACGAAAACGTGGACAATAACAGAATCTTTGAAGAAAAGAATAGACGGATGTTACAGTAGAATGCTTCGGATGGCCCTAAACGTGGACTGGAGAGGACATCGCACCAACAAGGAGGTCTTTGGATCACTCCCAAGAGTTATTTCGAAGATACAGGCCAGAAGAATGAGGTTGGCTGGGCACATCCAGCGACATGATGACCTGGCAGCACACCAACTTCTCCTTTGGGAACCTAGGGAGGGGTAGACCACCGCTCACCTTCGTCGATAACCTAATAAGTGACACTGGATTAAGAACACTGGGGAGATTAAGGAGCTTATGACGGACAGAAAGCTTTGGAGACACATCATCGAGACTCGGACTCTGAAGCCGCCTTAAGTCAAGTAATTTAAGTCATGTGCTTTGACTTGCCCTTGACCTTCGTCATAGCCTCCTTTCATGACAGGAGAACACATTTGCCACGTTTGGCACATTTCCACTTTGTGCATTCATATATGGATTATATCTCGATGAACGAGACATCCTGTTTGCTATCGTGATAACATACTATCAATATAAACACACTTATATACTATGTAAACTATCTATTAAGTTAAGACATGAGAACAACACGTAGGTAAGACTCAGTGGGAAATAATTCACATTCAATACAATTAATGAAATGGCTAGAATTTTGTTTAAATTTTGTTTAAAAAACCCAAAAAAACCCAAAAAAACCCAATCCCAGTATTACCTTTTCTTGGGTAGGAGTTGGGTTTTTTTGGGTTACACCCCCCCCATTGTCTAACATATTGGAAAATGGACAGTGACCGAATGTACCTGAAATGGGAGGCATAAAATTGAGAAAAAGATTAAATCAGAGATTTGTTTGAGTTTTAATTTTAGGCGCAACGTCTTAATCAAAATATTAAATGGAAGAAAAGATCAAAGATTTAAATTCCCAGAAGATTATTTACAACCCTGTCAAAACTGTGTTCGTTTACAACAAACTTAAGCCAAGTGGACAGTAAACCTACTCCTCTCATGTTGAGATGAAGCCAATCATGGTATAGAAGTTCATTACATGATCTAAAGTCTCGAGTTAAAAAGACTGAGAAACAGTCTAAGAACACGCAATTATTATTTAGGCATAAGTCTTTAAGTAGATTATTAAAATCTAGAACATTCTTTGCTATGTAGGAATATAAACATTTAATAGGAAGACAACATTGGATAATTATAATTGCAGCGGGAAATAACTGCTTAGTGGTGTCAATTAATTCAGTAAGATACTTCCTAAGGAACTGAACCCCATACTTAGAATGTTTAATGTCATTTGTACCAACACTCAATATAATTTTTTCAATATCGTCAGCTTCTGCAGCTGCATGAGTTTTATGAAAATTATGAATGTTTTCAGTGATGTCTCTAATTTTTGCACCACTTTGAGACACATTGATTACTTTCCTTCCCCGGAATCCCAACTTATTTGTCCGTACGAATTTTGTCATTGACGTACCAAACAGGACAGTGGTTTTCCTGCTCTTCGGTTTTCTTGGAGTATTTCGGTAGTAAATGGTTGGTGTTGAGGTGGTGGTGGGCGGCATAGGAATTGTAGTGCGGGCAATCTGCTCCTTGACTACATTTGTATCTGTCTTCGGTATCTGGCAGCGAAAAGATAAGCTATACCGAGTCCCCTTAACTGAGCTCTCTGCACGAACCTTGTGAAGACAATATTCCTGACACCCCGGTTTCATAATATACAAACTACAGTCCTTTGGGGTGATATAGCATTTACTGTTACATCGCTTATCCCCATTTTCTGGAATTATGTCGATGGTCCTCTCAGCTCCAAATGAAACTACATAAATACCTTGCGACTGGTCAAGAGACACCTCGTCGTCGTTGTGGTACCTAGTTGCACAAGAACCAGACTTGTACATGCTTGCTAGGCATGAGTTTAGCTTGCAGCCAAACTTGGAGTTGATATCATGCATAAGCTCTGTTATCCCAGGATAATTTAAAATATCGATTGGCTCCTTAGTCGTGGTGTGTCCATTTGAGGAAGACCATACATATTCTTCTCCAGTGGAAGTGAGCCACTTTGTGGCAGTTTTCACAGCAGTTTGCTTGGCCATAAGTGTTTCAAGTTCAGACATCAACGTGCCATGTTGAACACTCTTGTTCTGAACAAAATCTGAATGCAACTCCAAGAAGTCCTCGCATTTAACAGAATTTCTCTTAAGTTTCATGACATTCTCAACACTGGCCTTGAGAGCTTTCAGCTCATTTAATGAAAACGAGTTTAAAACATTGGTAACAGAATTCAGATCCATAGTGATGTGAGGAAGAGGGAGGAGAAAATGGCGGTGAGGGAGGAGAAAATGGCGAAGTCAATACTGTAGCCCAGGAAGTAGATGCGTTGCTTAGGATACAAACGGTCACGTCATAGTCTCTTCTATCGCTTTGACATTGGGACCTAAAATTATTTGTTATATAGTAGTGTTGAAAGTATTAAAACTTAAAATATTAGCAACCATATTTTAGGAATGCTGCATTCTGGACGGCATTGTTTTTCAGATCAATTCACCTGGACAAAAATAATAATTGAGTAGTTACCCTGTCTTCACTGCAAAAATTATTCGGTGAATAAAAGATTATTATTCCCATTATTATCACTTATCAAACGAGATAGCTACAACAAATATCATCAAGTGTCTAGACGAAAGGTCTTACCTCTATTCTCTGGTTGCTACTTGCGGGTTGGTTGAACATTTTAAAGTCAGCGAGTGCCAGCGGTAATCGATTACAATTCAACAATGAAATATACCAGCTTACGTGCATTGCATGACTCAATAACAAGTAACCTTAAACTCAGTTTTAATTCTCAAAACGAAAATATTTACTCCGCAAACGTTTACAAAGTTTGCAATTTGGATAAAGCTTGGATGCGCGGCTTGACTACTTGACTAGAATTACATAACATTTTTTAAAAAATTTCTAATGTAATGTCTTATTTCAATTTTTTTCTCCAATCAATGTTAATGACCAAAACTCTATTAAGCATACCATATACTAGTGTAGCGTAAGAATTATACTTATATATTAATCATACCAATACCATAATTATCAACACTGAACGGCATATTTTGTATTTGTCATGAGCAAATAAAATAAACTACCGTCAATCATTAATTACGAACAGTGGATCCATTAAATAAAAAAATTTAATCGTTTATGAAATGACCACTTGTATATTTGAATGACGATTATTGCCAAATTTGGAAAACTAAAGTTTAAATTGATAATGAAATATAATTTGCAATTAGTCGTTGTTGCATTGCGCGCGGCGCGAGTGACCGTCCGTTTGACACACTCGCTGCTAATAATGTATGCGTCTAATTCATCATAAATGGAAGGCGCGCCGGTGTAATTTTTGCGCGCGAATTTACGATTTAAACGAAAAGAAACTGCAGGGTTGATCAAGTTCTAGCCCGTTACTTGGACTAGTAACGGGGGAACTAACAGTGTTAATAGTTTAAACTTTGTGCTATAACTGAACCTCAGGAAGAAGACGTCTGGCAATGCCAGGGAGTGAGTAGCTCTAGCCGGCAGCCATCCAATGGACTGCTGCCGTTACCGACCCCGGGGGTGCTGACCACGAGTATCAGCCTCGGACCCACTACTCACTAGCTCTGGTGTTCTGAGCGGGGGCCTTATTATTATTATTATTAATTAATTATTATTATTATTAATTATTATTATATTAAATCAAAGTTCTAAACAAGGGATAGTTAAAAAACAACGCCCGAGTCTAATCTTTCCCTAAAACAAAAACTAAAAATTAAAAACTTCATTGCAATTTCCGCCAATATCTCTTGTCATAACTCAAATTACGGAGATAATGCAGGTCAAAGATATTATTCAAATAAATATTTCTTTTACATAAATCATGCACAATCAGCGAGAATAGATTGCTTTGGGGTCTTCCTCTTCTCCCTGGTAAGTCCAGTGTATTGATGGCAAAAATGAGGGAAGAAAACGCTGGTCCGTCAATAGGACCCCGCAAAACATGTCCTAACATTCTCCACCGACTACGGGCCACTTTTTCTGACAATGGTTCAGCATTGCAGCGTTTATACAAGTTTTTGTTGGAGATGACTCCTGGGTACTTTATATTCAAAATAGTGCGAAGATGTCTGCGGTGAACAACATCTAGTTTTTCAAGGAATATTTTGGGGACGGCCCAACAGGATGAGTTGTACATAAGAACCGATACGACTAAAGCATTATACAGTATTAGACGTTTGTTTAGGGGCAGTTTATCACTCCAGGCCTTCTTGTAATTGTTAAAGGCAGCATATCCCAGGTTTATGCGACGCTGAATATCAGCTTTGCTACACAAGACGGACCCTAGAGTGATACTTTTCCTCCATGCTTCATTCCCCGACACTAATTTTCCATCACTGTCGACTTCACCCGTACTAGCTAAATAAACATGAGTGAAGTCCGTTTTGTCTTCATTGACAAAGAGGTTCCATTTCTCGAGTATAGCTGTTGCCTGGGGCAAAATAGCTCTCAAGTTGTCTTCCTCTTCATCATTGAAGTCAACATCATCAGCGTATTCAGTGTCAAGTGGAAGGCCAGCAATAGTAATCGGGGGGATCGGCCTATCTAAACTGATTGTTATAGTCCATCTAAGTTCATTCAAAGCACCAGCCAAGACAAGGGTGAACAGACAGCCGGATAGACAGTCACCTTGGAAAGCTCCAAGGAGACTTAAAAACTCAGCTGAAAGAACTCCATTTACCTTCACCCGTAGCTTTGTGTTGGACAACAACAACCGGACAATCCTCAGCTCATCCTCAGTACAGCCACACAGTTTCAGGAGTTCAAGAATCGTAGTGCGTTTGATCGTGTCAAACGCACTAGACATATCAATGCCCATGCGATGATACTCCCATTTCTTCCTTTGGACAACTGACAGTAGAACTCGCTGACACCAAACAATATCAGCACAAGAACGAGCGCGTTTATATGCACACTGCCATGGACCAGTGAAAGCGTTCACTTTTTCTTCTATCCTTTTAAGAGTAGCCATAGACAGAATTTTTCTGGCTGCATTGGACAAGGTGAGTGGACGTAAATTCTTCAGTGGACCAATAGGTTTTTTTGGCTTCTGTAAGGGTGTTATAGTAGCCTCTCCAATGGAAATGGGGAAAGTATGTGTCTCGAAACAACTGTTGATGATTCCAGCATAATGTTCATGGACTGTACTATTAGAGTACTTAATTAGCTCGTTGGGTATTCCATCGGGACCATTTGCCCTCCCATTTTTCAAGCTAGAGGTGGCTGCATGTATTTCAACTCCAGTAAAAGGGACATTGAGAGCACGTGGTAGACCCTCAAAAGGCTCGAGAGGTTGCTCATTGCGAGTCAGCTGTTTTTCGAGATAGTCTCTAACAACAGAAGCTTTCATGTCGTCAGATGCAATCAAACAGCCATTTTCATCATGAACACCAATCGAGTTATTAGGTGGTTTACTTTTCTGAAGATGTCTTACTGCTTCAAACATTTTCCTTGAATCGTTTGTGTTAGTAATATCACTATAGGTCTGATCAGCTTGAGCAGACCTCACTTCAACTAATCTTTTCTGGATACTATTAGTGAGGTGGTTGATGGATGACCTCAATGTAGTTCGATCAAGAGATTGATTATTGTTAAGTAGCTGTCGGAGATCGTGACGCTTTTCAACAAGCTCTTTGAGAGTGTCATCACTGCTGTGATGTTTCAAGCGAGCTTTAGGTTTTGGGCCGATGGAAACATTGGCAGCATCACGAATATGAGACATAAGATTTTGAAGGTCGGCATTTGGATCGTTGCTGGTCACAAAATTTGAGAACTTGCCTTCAAGGGCCAAGTGATATTTATGTTGCATATCTTTGTTGCTTACAAGTTCTGATATATTATAAGAAGGAACACGACGTTGTTTAGGTTTGAAACAAAGATGAATGTTGCTGAAATTGATGCGAGCAATGACAAGTCTATGATCTGAAAATGTTTTAGTACCAGCATAAGTTCTTGATTGAGTCAAAAGACACTTAGATCTATTTCGGCATAGTATGTAATCTATTTGAGAGTATACAGGCAGTGTCTTCTTACTGTACCGACCAGCCGACCAATCCTTCCGCCAACCAGTAAATGATGTAGCACGTCTGCTAGGTTGTATAAAACTAGTGTTCACAGCAAACAGATTATGTTCTGAGATAAAATCCAGTAATCTAGAACCATTTTCGTTCCTTACTCCCATTCCGTATTTCCCCATATATCTACCAAAACCCTGTTCAATATCAGAAGGGGATAATTTACCCAGTTTTGAATTAAAGTCACCCAGGAATTGCAACTCCACATTAGAGGGGACATTCTTGGCCTCTCTTAGCTGCCCATAAAAGTTATCCAAAACAACTGGATTTTTACGGACTAGCCCCTGATGTGGACAGTAGGCATTGATCACCCTGCAACGTAGGGGTGTACCGCTACGTGAGGGGATGCAAATATCGACATAGCATACCCGGTCACTGATGTACTTCCAGCAAACCACATAGTTCATCATGCGAGGACTGATTATAAAACCCAAGCCTCCATGGCGACTGTCCAACTGCTCGAACAGAAACAAGTTAAAACCGTTGCGCAAAACAAAGCTGTCTGATTCGGTGACTTTAGTTTCCTGCAGAGCGCAGATGTCGACATTGTACTTTTCACAGTCTAATCCTAGTAACTCACGTTTACTATGTAGGCTATCATCTTGCTGAACACCGAGCCCACGGATGTTAAATGTGGCGAAGCTGATCATTAATGCAATGGTTGTTGATACAAATGATTTCTTCTTCGGGTTAAATATGTTGGAGTTGGCGTCACCACCGTCTCCACCGCTGACATTACTCGAACGGACCATCTGGACTTTGTTTGGATTTTATTATCATTTCATTGTTTGATGTTTATGGTAATCATGCGAGGTCTTTTAAATTTAACACTGATTTAACAGATCACTTTCTCATCATCCACACAATATTGTAAAGGTAATCAATAATAATTAAATTCAGCGAAATTGACACAATGAGGGTGCACACTTTACAACGTCACGTCATCTTTACTCAACTCAAGTTTTGCTTTTAATTAAATAAACTCTCACATTACATCTGCAGAAGCAATTTTGATTATCTTAATTCAAGCACGCTCCAGAGTTCCCATCAGGGGGGTGGAAGCTTAAGTTTAATCAACTTCCTTTTTAAGAATTACTCAACAGTCAACTGCTCGCGGAATTATAACCTGTATTGTAATCACATGGTCCGGATCCGTGGAACACTGGTGAGCAGTCTGATGGGCTCTGGGTTTTGGTTAATTCCTTTTTTGTACCTTTTATAGAACAATGATATAAAATGACAACGAAGTTACTCGGAATTATCACAATTTATTATATCAGGCTGACTACAACATTAAAATTGTGATTAATACGTTAATGTATCAGGGGATAGTGGAGTGAAGAGTTATATATGTTTTAGTGGTGTCAATGTTGAGGTAGTTTAAGGGGCGATGGTGCATGCAACCAGGTTGATTAGTAAACTCTCAAAACGTGACAGGGGACAGAGGCTGGTCACGTTGTTACTACCCACCTACAGGAAGCTAATGTAATAACTTAGAGCTAATATCCTTCCCTCTTGAAGAGATGTAATTGTTCCTCCAAGTTAAGAGAAAGGTTGCTGTATTAAATACCACGTTGAGAAGCTAAACTGTCCCATGTCTAGTGCAACTGGCCCAACTTGCATGATAATTATAGGAATACTAGAAAGCCCGTGGTAACAGGGATGAAAGGAAATCGCGGAATCGCGATTTTCCCATTATTTGCGACAAATTTTATGTATAGTCAGAGTCTTATGTATAGTCTGTTAAAAATAGCGGTATCGCGATTTTTGGCAAAATAATCGCGATTTTCTTTTGTCCCTGGTGGTAACAGGGATGACGTAGTAGTAGTGTTCTTTGAAAGAAAGTTTTAATCGCATCAAAAAGTGTTTATCTTAGCCGAAGATACAACCGATTTAAATGTAAAACGCTTTAGACACAATGTAATTACCACAAAACCGATCAAAACGACATTCCAACAATCTTTGCACGTGCGTATTACAACACCGTTGCTATTCAACCTTTTGGTTTTTACTTAACTTCCTATTATTCATCCAGTTTGCACGTGGGCGTTCGTACAGACAGACACACCTACAGAAAAAATCTTTAGAATTATATTAAAGATGGTCCGAATTAGGCTTGAGTACTGCTAGGCTCCGCCCTCTGGAATCCTCAAAAAGTACACGAATTCCAAGCACTGGAAGCAGTTTAAATGTCCTTCACCCGCAGGATATCAGGCTGCTAGAACTTGGACTACTGTATGATTTTAAACCTAATTATTATTTCAATAAATAAAGATCTGACACAAATATTACTATTACTATTGCGGTCATTTTGCACACCCTATAAGTATAGGCCATAGGGCTCCTGGGTGTCTTTTTGACACTGACAGTAGTTACAAGTTTTTACTTAGGCGCCTGGATAAAATTTGCTCTAACTTTTTCCCCATCAGATCCAGATTTAAAACTCTTTCATGGGGTGGTTCCTGAAACTATGGACAACAGTAACACCAAACACATTCCTGTAGAAAAATGGTTGTCGCAAATTCTTGACTAGATGGTTCTGTATTCAATTTAATTATCACTACTACTCCTCCTAAAATAAAATCCTGATCAGCATCGAATTTTTTAGAATTAAGAAATAAAACAACCTCTGAGATTAAAAAGTTTAAGAATTATACACGTAAATCTACATTTTACGACGAAACGTTCATTATGCCAATCAAATATAATCACAACAATCATTAATACATATAAATCAATGGTCCTTAAAGGAAACAAATTGTTCGTTATAATTTGAGCCTATCAAAAATACAATTTCAACACGTACCAGGGCAATCATACCACATACTTATTTTTGTTCAATTCATAAAGTTATTTATTTTATCACCATCAGACAGTATCAAGAACTAAAGGCATTGCAAAGGTTTTTAAAATGTCGTGCCATGCACATTGTGTGCATTACCCCCACTTCTCTCCCTCGATAAGAAGCAAGCATAGACCAGCAAGCAGGGTATAACCAGGGTATAATAACCTGGGTAGGAGACAACGTTCCAGTATTAAGGCAGTAGTCTATCTCGCTCTCTCGCCTGCTGAGCGGTGCGCTGATCTTCGTTGGAAACAAAACGTCTCCTGATGGAAGCAAAAACCGCCCTGATCCTAGACTTCAGGAACTCCTGGAAGCTGGTGAGACTGGCTGTGTAGATGAAGAAGTTAGCAGGGGCTTGCAGATACAATATGAACATTGCAAACCTAGTATATGCAATGTAGGAAGTTGGAGTAGACTGTGGCTGGATTTTTGGATGTTCAAATAGGTTAACAACTAACGGGACAGTTGCTATGGCATAAACAACCACAGTGAGAAGGACCGTTCTGATCCCCTGCCATTGGAGACCTCCAGCTCTTCTATCTGCAATCTTTTTTGCCAGGAATAGTAGCATAACGCTGCTTACTGTGATGATCCCTGTAGTGAAGAGGCCGACTCCTCCTATAACTACTCCAAAGACATAATCAATCTTGGACTTATGAACTGGAAGTGCATAGTCGCAATTGTAGCTCACGTAGCTGAAGTAAGCACCCTTTTCGGCAGCCACGAGCACTCCAAAAGAAGACATGCATGAAAACATGACCAGGGTCGTCAGATGACCTGCTCTTTTCGAAAAATCAACTGCTCTCAGTGGATATTTCACGATCAGGAACTTGGCAAATGTTAGGGCACCGATGAGAAGAGCGATTGTTCCCCCAAAGCTGCCCGAAATGAAGAATCCTGCAGAGCAAAGGAAGTCACCGAAGACCCAGACATTAGCAACAAGTGAAACTGCACCAGGCAGGAGTCTAACGATGGAGATGACCAAATCAGCGACAGCGATGTACTGGATGAATACCACCATTATCTTGTGAAGCTTTATAGCGTTGTACCTTATAGAGCCAATGAGGATGAGGGTGTCTCCTATCAGGGATGATAGGAAAATGAAGGACGTGTATGCAGAGAGAACATACCTTTCAGCTTTGTCATGAATTCCAAATCTTGTGTAATTTTCGTACTTCATTTCGCGACTGGAAGTCTTACTTTAAAATAAGCACTGACACAAAAACAGGCCGGGTCACAAATGAGAAATGCAAAATTACGTAACCGCGGACTTGGACTTTTAGTAGTATGTCGTAGGTACATGGCAAACAATTTCTGGGGACCCCAGGCTATTAAGTTCATAAATAGAGATTCAACGGAATTACAGGCTGAGCACCGCCCAGTAATATTATACCCCCTACAGTCTAGTAGCAGGGTGTATTGCATGGAGTGTGCACTGTGCACTTCGATGTACTGAGTTTCTTGCTACTCAATTGGGAATTAAATAGGTCACTCAAATATTTATATACAAGCTATGAAGCAACATAGGGTCTATTATATTGCTTGAGTTTAGAGATATTTATTAAAAACTGGTTTACCTTCGCTTCGTGCATCCAAAAATAATAACATCAAACAAAATCCTTCCAGCTATTTTAGGCGGTCTTCGGCTCCGTCTTTCAACCTTTCAATCTTTGGTTACCTCAAACTAATAATTTTAGTTTTTTGTAGCATCCTCTGAATGCTACCTCCTGCTTTCCAATTTCTAGCATTTGGATCACTTTGGATCTTCCCGGCTGTATCTAACATTTTCCAGCAACAAAACTACATCAAAGTGCACACTCAACTACACTGCTGCTACTGGAGTATTTACTGTTTTTCCAGGCATTAATGATTAAGACTCATCGAAAGTCGTTCAGCAGGCATATTTTAAATTCAAAACATTCTGATTCAATGTCAAAGATGACAGGAATAATGAATAGTACGAGGTGCAGTGTGCACGATAAAAATAAACTTGCTCGGATTTTCAAAATGTTTGTACCATTGTTTTTTAAAGAGTATAAGCCTTTTCACAATACCAAATTTGTTACACCTTTTTGGAATTATCAGTGAGTTTCGCATAGGTGCCATATTTGAGCTTTTGGAGCTTCAGTAAGTGTAAAAGTCCGTAATTTGACGAAATTCGTTGATTTTCTGTTTTCGTCGTATTATTTTGGCATATATTTGGTTCCTAGAATGAGATCATTTTAAAAATTTGTAAAGACCTTCCAATTGGACTTTAAAAACTTTAAAAAGGGGTTGCAAAAGGCCGGTCACAAAAGGCTCTTTCTCCGGCCGGAGTGCACCAGAGAGAGGTATACAACGTTTAGCAAGATTCGATTAATCAGTAATCACTCTGCACTCGACTGTACGTAGCTATGTAGAGTTTCTGTAACGTGAAGTTAGAGATATGTCTGTAGTAGTGAACCCTTCAATCCTTGTCTTGTGTGTGGTTCTATCATGGTCCTGGGATGTAATAGGTTAGTACTGATGTACATTTAAGTGAAGTAATGTACCTTCAAGTGAAATAATATAAGGGACAATTATAATGCAATGTAAAGGTCTAAGAGAGCTGGCCCCTTCACGAACTAACACACTTTCTCTGGCTCTAATACTCACGTGGCGTTTGGTCCCTTATTTATGGTAAATCTTACCTGGGAATCTCAGGTACCTGGTACATCTACTGTTGGCTTTCTTCACTATATAGCCTTTCCCTCCGATTGCCTGGTACATTGTTCGATTTCGCGATACTAAGTATATCCACCAGCGGGCTATATTTTGTCTTCTGACCTCTCGCAGCCCGATGTAACAAGACACAGTGCGCGTCCAGCCCGCTTAAAATACAGCACGCGAGCAAATGACACTTAACGTGACAAGTAACAATACAGCCCGGAAAACAAACAAAATTGCAAATTCCCACCCAGCTCTAATTATGTGGCCTAAAAGTTCCACACTACACTTTCATAATTCCCACCGCAATATACTTATAGTAATACATATAGATATCACCGCAGCCTTGAGGGCGGTACTGAATATTGCACAAGCGTGCGCGTGCAATATTTTATATCTCCACGAGGGCGCTAGCCCGAGACGGAGATATTTTCGTATAGCACGGAGGGCCCAACGGGCCCGAGTGCTATACGATAGTTCCGCCCTCATGGCGAGGAATGATATCGTGTATATCCATGAGCGGGCGCTTTACAGTTTCCAACAATCATAGCAAATAGAAGTAAAAGATTTCGAACTCAAGTTGCAAATTTACGAGAAAATCATGCTTTAGCCTTTGGTTTAAGATGCAGAACAGGGAAAAATTACAGATTATAGAACACACTAGAAGAATAAAGAACCGACGAAAAACCGGCCGTTATCAAAAAATTTGTCAGCTTATTGCGTCATGTAATTGTAAACAATCATAATGCAGGCCATCGCCATGAGTATGAGTTCGTCAACAAGTGTAAGCATCTATGACTTAAGTTACCAGGAGAGTTTGAGACGGCAGACGGAGAAAACGTGAGAGTAGAACATAAAATTCGCAAGAACATCATTTTACTGGCGGTGTCAAAACAGCTAGGGCATGTTCAAAGTTTCTATTCGGTACACAATGTATTTTTAAGTACAAGCACGCTGCACGGCCTAAATATAAAAAACTAATTCAGCTTACAGGTTTTACCACCAAAAAGAGTAACCCAGAGATCAGCTCGAGATCACAGTCTGATCAGTGATCATGGACATTGAATATGAGAGTTAAAGATCAAATTCATAACATAAAATATGTTGATGGCAGTTTCAAAACAAAAAACAGGGTAAAATATCTTTCGGGAACACAATAGAATTACACGTAAAATTTCGGCCTAAAATTTCAAGGTTTATCAACTGAAATAGTGAGCAATTTATATAGAAATGGTAAACAAATAATTATTAATACTAACACAATGAAATAGGGATTAGAGACGCAGACTTCAAGTCGCCACGAATTTTGTAACCATAGTTACAGTATGTCACGTGTTCAATATGAGCCAATCATGCGCCGACTGGGTGATATACTGATATAGGGGATACTAGGATCGAGTAGGGGGTGAGCTCAGAGCTTATACATTCTTTGTAATTGTATTACTATAAGTATATTGCTGTGGGAATTATGAAAGTGTAGTGTGGAACTTTTAGGCCACATAATTAGAGCTGGGTGGGAATTTGCAATTTTGTTTGTTTTCCGGGCTGTATTGTTACTTGTCACGTTAAGTGTCATTTGCTCGCGTGCTGTATTTTAAGCGGGCTGGACGCGCACTGTGTCTTGTTACATCGGGCTGCGAGAGGTCAGAAGACAAAATATAGCCCGCTGGTGGATATAATTACAAAGAATGTATAAGCTCTGAGCTCACCCCCTACTCGATCCTAGTATCCCCTATATCAGTATATCACCCAGTCGGCGCATGATTGGCTCATATTGAACACGTGACATACTGTAACTATGGTTACAAAATTCGTGGCGACTTGAAGTCTGCGTCTCTAATCCCTATTTCATTGTGTTAGTATTAATAATTATTTGTTTACCATTTCTATATAAATTGCTCACTATTTCAGTTGATAAACCTTGAAATTTTAGGCCGAAATTTTACGTGTAATTCTATTGTGTTCCCGAAAGATATTTTACCCTGTTTTTTGTTTTGAAACTGCCATCAACATATTTTATGTTATGAATTTGATCTTTAACTCTCATATTCAATGTCCATGATCACTGATCAGACTGTGATCTCGAGCTGATCTCTGGGTTACTCTTTTTGGTGGTAAAACCTGTAAGCTGAATTAGTTTTTTATATTTAGGCCGTGCAGCGTGCTTGTACTTAAAAATACATTGTGTACCGAATAGAAACTTTGAACATGCCCTAGCTGTTTTGACACCGCCAGTAAAATGATGTTCTTGCGAATTTTATGTTCTACTCTCACGTTTTCTCCGTCTGCCGTCTCAAACTCTCCTGGTAACTTAAGTCATAGATGCTTACACTTGTTGACGAACTCATACTCATGGCGATGGCCTGCATTATGATTGTTTACAATTACATGACGCAATAAGCTGACAAATTTTTTGATAACGGCCGGTTTTTCGTCGGTTCTTTATTCTTCTAGTGTGTTCTATAATCTGTAATTTTTCCCTGTTCTGCATCTTAAACCAAAGGCTAAAGCATGATTTTCTCGTAAATTTGCAACTTGAGTTCGAAATCTTTTACTTCTATTTGCTATGATTGTTGGAAACTGTAAAGCGCCCGCTCATGGATATACACGATATCATTCCTCGCCATGAGGGCGGAACTATCGTATAGCACTCGGGCCCGTTGGGCCCTCCGTGCTATACGAAAATATCTCCGTCTCGGGCTAGCGCCCTCGTGGAGATATAAAATATTGCACGCGCACGCTTGTGCAATATTCAGTACCGCCCTCAAGGCTGCGGTGATATCTATATATATTAGAATCAATGAAACAATAAGTTTTGAATATTAATGAATACACACAAGGGTATATCGCTGTGATATAATTTCACAATTCAGCTGCCAGATGTCTTGCTACTATACTTATAGAATTAGAATAGAACCTCAGATATAAATTACAAAATGCAATGCTTTTAATAGCTACATTTTCTTCGACACCTTAGAAGCCTTGATCGTTTACAAGAACGTGGACCATTAATAAAGAACCTGGTAAGATTGCCCCACATAACTGAATTGTGAAATTATATAACAGCGATATAACCTTGCGTGCACTCATTAATATTTAATATTCATTATATTTCGTTGCAAGGTATAGTGCCCTGGACCTATGCGGTAAGTTTGATCTTACCTGGGGACCCTGCTTAGTGATTAGTCGTCTACCTCACACAGATACTCTTATGTAGTAAGATTATGATTTATATGGCAGAATCGTTCATATATTATACTGCCAGCCATAAATAAAAGAGAATTATTATGTAGACGGGGGGGGGGGGGGGGGGGGGGGTACACTACAGACAGTTGAGCTTTTACTGAACTAAAAAGAGAACTATGTGGACAGTTGAGCTTTTACTGAAATACAAAGATAAATATGTAGACAGTTGAGCTTTTACTGAAACACAAAGAGAAATATGTAGACAGTTGAGCTTTTACTGAAACACAAAGAGAAAAATGTAAACAGTTG